GAGACAAAAATCCATTATCTGTTAAAAAAAAAAATCACACAGCATTCGAATGGCTCTGCCACGCTTGGAATAGCTGTGAATAGTGCAAAAATCATGACTGTCGAATAGTAAAGTCGAATGGGCTCAGCTCTACTCAACAGCTTTTGGGGTGATTGTGTCCATTTAAAAGCATATTTTTGTTTTGATTTTACTGAAAAACGTTGGTCAAAGGGACAAACATTTGAATATGCAGTTTTCAAGAACACGACTCACGACATGCATAGCTATGGAAGTCACCAAACTTTGGCGGCCATTTCTTCGCTAATTTTCCCTCTGACACCAGGTGACTCCCACTTCCTTCACCCAAATATCTCCACTTCTATTCAAAATACATGTGTATTTTTTTCATCAAACGCATGGAAAATGAATAAGCTTTGAGATGATACCAATAACTCCACATGCCCAAAAATTGACGAGCGTCTGATTCAATAGCACCATGACACATGCATATAGTCATATCAGGTCTGGTAGAGATGTCGAACCGGGAAAACATTCATATTACTTTCACATTCAGAGACATTAACCCCTTTATGGCCTGCCCCATGGCGTATTGAACTATTTGGTAGGACAGCTGAGCAGGCTTGGCACTGAAAGGGTTAATATTGTTAGCAAATGATGTCCCACACTCAGCATACAATACTAACTCAGTAGACACATACCAACACTTGGAGTAAGAAACTTGGATGTTCACCATGAACTTGGCACACAGCAACTGATGCATCACCTCAGAGAATAGGTCACTGACAGCAGAACCGTTACACAGAGCACACATCAGCATGAGTTGAACTACCAATATTTGTGCCAGTTCAACCTTCTACTACGTACAAAAAACATTTATTTCAAACACAAGCTCTACACACTGTAGTTTCAGGAACCCAGTTCTGCAAGTCATCAAATCACCTTGAACAAAAGCTGAACAGAAATAAACGGTAAGTATGAACAAAAGACACCATCCACACTCCAGAGAGGTCGCAGCGTGTGAGTGACACAATCAAGCTGGGGAGCATCCACCTCTGCTGATTAGAGACCCTACTAGGAAATGTTTTATCTTCCAGCCCCCACACTAGATTCAAAACACATCAACATCAGAACTAAGCCCTATTAGATTTTGAGTTTGAGCTCGAGTAAAGAGAAGCACATCCACATTTAGAATGAGGAAAAAAACAGACAGACCGAAACAACTGATCAACATAGGGAAAGAAAAGAAAGTAGGACTTAACAGAGGCACATAGCAACCACCCGCCGGTGGAAAGCCATAACAACCCAAGACTAAGAAGGCCTTCCTAGGGATCTAAACCAGGACCACCTACTTCCCAATCTACAATAGACTCAAACTGAGCTAACAACACCCAGCTCAGAATGAAAACAATAACTCCAACAACAACAAAAATGACATAATAATATAAATTCACATATAATGTTATAAATATATATATATATATATATATTATATATATATATATATATATATATATATATATATATATATATATCTAAAACGCCACCAGACCCATATGAAGCAAATACTCGAAGGCAAGATGTGGGGCACAAGAGTGAGCAACACACAATGTGGATCGACACATCAAACTGGACATGGGCTTGGTCAATAAATCTGACAAAATGCATGAGAGCAGCCCCTGACCATAGTAAACAAAGGTGGTCATTACAAGACAACCTCAGAGCCAGAGATCACACCTCCCGGTCTTCATGATAATCTTTTCCAATGGAACAATCTTCTAAAAAATTCAAATATAGAAATAAAAAATCAAACTTCAAAATTCAAAAGAGGAGAAAGGGCGATGTTAACGCTCTCAGAAAACTTAAAAACAGTTACCACACCAAAAATGAGCCCTAAGATTTCCTTACTAGTTGGGGTAACGATGAAGCTCTGAGTTATTAGAACCTCAATTTTGACTGGCAGCAAATCACACACATTGAAGGTTAGGATAACTGCATTAATGTACTTCTACTAAAGTCAACAACAGAATGTAATCTACAAATACATTTCTCAAACAATTATATCTCTCTTTTCACAACTCTCATCATCAAAAGCTTGGAGAAACTAATTACTATTGTTGTAACTCTTTCAAACACAAAACACCAAAATTCATTTACCAGAGAACGGGACACAGTATAAGAAAACAGCAAGTTTGTTTTCAATTTCTCACAACTTTCATTAAAATTATTATAATCTCTATGAAACAAGTTATTTTGCAAATTACAACCCATTAGAGAAAAACAATACAAGTAAAAGAGATACAGATTTTAAAACGCAGACAAAAATTCCCTGAAGAAGTATAAAGTTATTTCATTCACGAGAGAGTAACTGTCTGAGCCTCTCAGTCAAAAATGTGTTTCAACAAAATGATCTGAAAGATTAGAGATTCCTAATATGAAATGTGAGGCATCGAGATGAAATCAAGTGCTCATCAAAATAATGAAATCAACGCAATCCGCATTTTGAGGCCAGTTTGGAAATTTTGTTTTTTGGCTCAACGCCATGTAAGCCCATTCAAAAACACTTTTAAGCGTGGATTTTATTGAAAAACATTGATTAAAGGACCACAAAATTTAAACGTGCAGTTTCCATGGACTCTTAAGCTATGGAAGTCACCAAACTTGGGCGGCCATTTCCTCACTAACTTTACTTCTGAAACCAGGTGAACCTATCTCCTTAAATCGCAAATATACTGACTTCTATTAAAGATAAATGGATATTTTTTTCACCGAAAGCAAGGCAAATGAACACTCTTTTCGATGATATCAATAAGTCCACATGCCCAAAAAACTGACGAGCACCTGATTCCACAGCATCGTGACACAAAGAGAATACGACCCTCCGGGTTGCTTTGAGCTATTTACAGTATTAACATGGATAGCCCGAATTCCTCAGGACCGGCCTCATTAGTTCAGGGGAAATCTTGGACCGGCCTCATTACTTCAGGGGATATCTTGGACCGGCCTCATTATTTCAAGGGATATCTTGGACCGGCCTCATTAGTTCAAGGGATATCTTGGACCGGCCTCATTAGTTCAAGGGATATCTTGGACCGGCCTCATTAGTTCAAGGGATATCTTGGACCGGCCTCATTAGTTCAAGGGATATCTTGGACCGGCCTCATTAGTTCAAGGGATATCTTGGACCGGCCTCATTAGTTCAAGGGATATCTTGGACCGGCCTCATTAGTTCAAGGGATATCTTGGACCGGCCTCATTAGTTCAGGGGATATCTTGGACCGGCCTCATTAGTTCAAGGGATATCTTGGACCGGCCTCATTAGTTCAAGGGATATCTTGGACCGGCCTCATTAGTTCAAGGGATATCTTGGACCGGCCTCAATAGTTCAAGGGATATCTTGGACCGGCCTCATTAGTTCAAGGGATATCTTACAAAGGTAAAGAAGAAAAAAACTGAATTGCAAGCACAGTTCAAAAGATGCGAGATTTCAAGTCTTCTGTATTCGACCTATCCGTGTTTTACTGCAGATAGGCTTTATAAAAAATGCAAAGAGAGATGAAAAACCATCTCAATTACATTTACATGACAGTATTGACAATTTACAAAGCATTACGCCATGGGAACACAATGAATTTAGTCAAGTTCCCAAAAGACTGGCCGCTGTTTTGATGCGACAAATCACAACCATAACAGTACTTCACCACAAAAAGTTATTTCACAAAGTTGGAAAAGAAAAACCAAGACCTAAATTAGGAAAAATTCCCACAGATATGTTATGTATACGGCATCAACAAAAGGGTAATGAGAATCATTTTGGACAACTCATCAGATGCACAATAATCGAGGACAATTTTTGTTTTTAATTTTTGTTAAAAAAAAAAAAAAACCCAAATTATCTGATGATAGTCTTGGTCAAGGCACAAACAATGCAGTACAACTTCTCAACAGGCCCCCACTTTTGCCATGGTGCAACTGGCAACATTCTGATAATTATCTACCCAAAAAAAGAAGAATACAACACAAGAGGACATTACGAACAATCCCAGGCCCTAAACAAGAGAAGAGCTAAGTTTAGCTTTAGTAAGTGTTTTACGGCACTTGCAACACAATAAGGTTATAATATAAATGCTGAAAATTAGAGGTGTGACAAGAGAGTAACAAACACAAACAAAGTAGGGGAGATAAAGACAGTAGACATTTGATAGGAAAGAAGAAGCAAAGCACACCAGAGCACCCGCCAACCACTCACAGAGTAGTGCTGATTGATGATTCAGTAGATGTTTTACGGCACTATCGACACAATTTAGGTCATTTAAGCGCCAACAGGTTTCACTACAGAGTAGTGCTTCAACCCAGAAACAGGTACCAGATGGTTTTACTATACACCCTTTGAACCCGTGAGGCCGAAAAACCGGTCCGCGTAATATGTTGCTGTATACCGTAAGGCTGATTGATAATGAGTATAGGGAAGGAAATAGGAGAGGTGTGAACACAAGTGAAGATGAAGTTTGTGCTAGATATAGGCCTAGATCTACAATCAGGTGTTTCCCATGCTCAGACCTATGACCCAATGCTTCCCGGTGGCAGTTCAGGCCCGTCACGCTAACGTCAAAGATGACACAACGTAGATTTAGACCGATAGGCATACAGCTGACATAGACCCTCCTAGGTCTACACAACAAGCTTCAAATAGTGGCACCCCTCCCCCCGTGGCCGTGCCCCGTCCTGACACCACACACCCTGATGTTGATACTCAGGATGGGCGGACTGATGACTTGAATGATATTCCAGTTATTATATAAAATTTGTCAGATATCTTTTCCTAGTGACTCTTCAACATTTGTCAGTTGATACAACATCTATTTCTTGCAGAGACAAAGATATAAAGGCATACATATCGACTGAATGTACCAAGCACCTAAATGTTATGTAAAAGGTTTTTTCGCGATTTTGCCACATTTTCACAAACTCATAAAATTTCACACGATAAAAGTATCACAACATTTTTGTTTGATTTGTTGAGTATGTTTCAATGTCATTGTTTGTGGAAAACTTCCAAGCTGTACACAAAATGATAAGCTCACTGTGAGGTTTTGACGATGGTCCCGAAAGCCTGGCATTCTTCAGTTCCCCTGCTGAGAAATGCCTGGCAGTGAGTGAGTTCAAGGTCACTGTATCTTTTTCCCCTGGCAATTTCCTTACATAGCTTTGACAGTTCAGTGTATCGTATGTGACACAGACAAGTCAACAATGCGTCTGAATACGTGATTTAGCAATTACATTAATAGGTCCTCTAAATTGCATAATTTGAATATATACACTTTACTAGTATTCTTTTCGAACTGTCTGATGAGCTATACTCCCCACTAAATTGCAAAAATTGACATTTCATATACATTACATCTGTGACGGTCAATGTTTCCAATGATCAACAGCAGTGTTTTCTAAATCACAGTTCAATAGAGGTCACTCTGAGACAAAAGAACACATAGCACAGCAGCATCCTGACAGACGAACATTTAAACCTCGGTCGTGTTGTAGCCGCCACACTGTAGACACTTTAGGCCCTCTGTGTTAAAAGGTACTTCACTGTTCTGTGGGGAGAAATGACGGCGGCAAATAAAGATTTGGAAATCAGCAAGGGGCACACACTTAAAGTACATTATAAAAAATATTTTCCAATAGTTGTACTGAATGTGATATAGCAGCCCTTAGCTTTCAATCATAGACTTTTTAGAAATTCATTCCTCAGTAGCTTTTGCCCCAATTGACCAACTTGGTGGAGTCAGTATTACTAACATATCAAAAAGTGATTTTCAAAAATTTTGTGACTTAGGCGGTTGAATCAAGCGGCTAGCGATCTATATTTTTTTTACTCAACTTTTTCACTGGTCCATGAATAACAAATTGTCAGCTTCCTTCTGCAATCCCCAGAATTAATAAATCAGTTTCCAGGAGTTTCCAGCTACAGCTGTTGTTCAAATAAAGACACAAAGGGGCATCTTACAATATAGTTTCATTTGTATCATCATGTCCTTCCTGATTTTTAAATGAAAAGACTTTGAGTGACAAAGTCACGGTTCTCATAATGGGAGCGATCCTTTTTTCTTTACCTTTCTATGAAGAACATTTTCCAAATGAGTCAGGCACTAGAGGAGTGACGCTAAAACAAAAAGTAACTGTAGATAGGGCCTACCTTGTGGCAATCCTGACATAAAATCTTGAGTCTCACGTTCTGGAGATCAGGAGGGAGCCTCACGGCAGCGCAGTACTCGTCCCTTATCTTCCAGTAGTCCGACATGTCCTCCAGAGATTGACGGCACAAAGGACATTGATAAAGGCTGAAAGGTCAAATGAGACAAACAGTGCAGAATTTGGTGACTACAGATAATGCCAGACCTCATACAGATTCATCGTTCGCAGGGCTAATTATGACAACTGAGCAAAGTAAATATGAAAAGTAAGGGTCATACAGAATTTCCAAGCAACTAACAAAGGGGACTTTCATTTGGGGGTTACCAGTTCATGTTGACAGGCATATACGTTTGACTCTACACCATTATCAATACTATTACAGAACATTAAAGATATACAAAAGGAACAATAAGAACATTTATAACTTATATTGAGTACATGAAAGAAGGTTATACAAGATGCCTCAGGGTTGAAAAAAAAAGCTTATCCAGGAAAAAAAAGTCTGCTCCTTATAAAAATTGAAATACACAAGTAAGAATTCCTTCTCAACTGACAAAGAAAAATATTTTGCAAGACCTTTTCATACATAAATTATTTCCTTTGTAGAACAGAAAGTTCATATTACATGATGTTAGATAATTCTACAAGTGTGCAAGAAAATGAAAAGTTCCTTGATGACCTAAAACGCCTGAGCTTTCCCCCCACTCCCATAAACAGAAGCCAAACACGTGATATCACAGTAGAATTCTGACACAACGTCATGTCTGTTTCAAATAGTTTCCTCTATTTGTTAAAGAGTACAAACTATGACCAAGACAAGGACAAGTGTATTACACAACAGTACAAACTATGACCAAGACAAGTGTATTACACAACAGTACAAACTATGACCAAGACAAGGACAAGTGTATTACACAACAGTACAAACTATGACCAAGGACAAGGACAAGAGTATTACACAACAGTACAAACTATGACCAAGGACAAGGACAAGTGTATTACACAACAGTACAAACTATGACCAAGGACAAGAGTATTACACAACAGTACAAACTATGACCAAGGCACGGACAAGTGTATTACACAACAGTACAAACTATGACCAAGACAAGTGTATTACACAACAGTACAAACTATGACCAAGACAAGGACAAGTGTATTACACAACAGTACAAACTATGACCAAGGCACGGACAAGTGTATTACACAACAGTACAAACTATGACCAAGACAAGGACAAGTGTATTACACAACAGTACAAACTATGACGAAGGCACGGACAAATGTATTACACAACAGTACAAACTATGACGAAGGCACGGACAAGTGTATTACACAACAGTGCAAACTATGACGAAGGCACGGACAAGTGTATTACACAACAGTACAAACTATGACCAAGGACAAGAGTATTACACAACAGTACAAACTATGACCAAGGCACGGACAAGTGTATTACACAACAGTACAAACTATGACCAAGACAAGGACTATTGTATTACACAACAGTACAAACTATGACCAAGACAAGGACAAGTGTATTACACAACAGTACAAACTATGACCAAGACAAGGACAAGTGTATTACACAACAGTACAAACTATGACCAAGGACAAGGACAAGAGTATTACACAACAGTACAAACTATGACCAAGGACAAGGACAAGTGTATTACACAACAGTACAAACTATGACCAAGGACAAGAGTATTACACAACAGTACAAACTATGACCAAGGCACGGACAAGTGTATTACACAACAGTACAAACTATGACCAAGACAAGGACTATTGTATTACACAACAGTACAAACTATGACCAAGACAAGGACAAGTGTATTACACAACAGTACAAACTATGACCAAGACAAGGACTATTGTATTACACAACAGTACAAACTATGACCAAGGACAAGGACAAGTGTATTACACAACAGTACAAACTATGACCAAGGAAAGAGTATTACACAACAGTACAAACTATGACCAAGGAAAGAGTATTACACAACAGTACAAACTATGACCAAGGAAAGAGTATTACACAACAGTACAAACTATGACCAAGGAAAGAGTATTACACAACAGTACAAACTATGACCAAGGAAAGAGTATTACACAACAGTACAAACTATGACCAAGGAAAGAGTATTACACAACAGTACAAACTATGACCAAGACAAGGACAAGTGTATTACACAACAGTACAAACTATGACCAAGGACTATTGTATTACACAACAGTACAAACTATGACCAAGGACAAGAGTATTACACAACAGTACAAACTATGACCAAGACAAGGACAAGTGTATTACACAACAGTACAAACTATGACCAAGGACAAGTGTATTACACAACAGTACAAACTATGACCAAGGACAAGAGTATTACACAACAGTACAAACTATGACCAAGACAAGGACAAGTGTATTACACAACAGTACAAACTATGACCAAGGACAAGAGTATTACACAACAGTACAAACTATGACCAAGGCACGGACAAGTGTATTACACAACAGTCTCTCATCTAACTCACCCTTGAGCATAGATACTTCTCAGACATTCCCTGGGGAGACAGAAAAATCAAAATGTGAGACATAGGATTATGATACCACACTTTGGGAAGGAGTGGGCACTTTCGCATTCACACTGTAATCATTTCAAACAGCATTGCCAACTTTCAAGCCCATCACGTTCTCGACAGATGAGGTCAGAAGAAGGGATGTGATGTAACGCTGTAAATGATATCATGGGGTCACTTCTAATGAAGGGGAGAAATGCGTGAAAAGAGGGGGAGGAGGGGGGCGGAGGGGGGCCTGAGGAGATATAATAACTGCATGGACTAGTGAATTATGAAATTTACACGCCACACCCACATTTACACAGACTTTCTTTTTGGCACACAGGTGAACTCTGCCACGCAGGTCAGCAGTAAGCAGCCATTTTTTTAAATTTGATAAATCACTTGTTCCTCTAATGAGGTCATGGCCTCGAATTGTCTTACAAAAGCCAGACAATTCACACCCTCTCTTTCCCTTCCCTAATGCAGCATTTGAACGGGTACTGTTTCAGTATGCTATCAAATGATAGTGACAATGTCATATTGACTGTAAAAATTCTCTCTGAAATCTCAACCCTTTGATTCTCACTAGCACCTAAAGCGAAGCATATCACACAGACATACGCACACACAGAGATTCATTTTTTTCCCATAAACTTTCACTGTGTCGAGACATGGTGCAAAAGCTTTTCCAAGCAATCTTTTCCGACAAAAATAGAACTTTATCTACTTTTGGACAAAACAATTTGTGATCATCAGCATCGATAAGCTTCTTTGTAATTTGTAGCAGTAAAACTGTTCTTCCGCCTCCACTGAGAGCTATCAGAAATATCTCCACAGCATTTAAAGGTCTTTACAATCCAATGGTGTATTCTCTTTCATAAATATTAAATATATATATATATATATATATATATATATATATATATAAATTCCTATTCTAAGAACAGCAGTTTTCCTAATGAGCGCCATTATTGCTTTATGAAATTCTGAATTGGGCACAGAAACCAGAACCAGAGCCTGCAGGTAAAGGCATGTGTCATTGTGTACAGCACAAAGGGGAAAAAGGACATAATCATACAAGTACACCCGACGACAATTGAAATACAGCAGCGCCTGTTCAGCTGTCACTTACTGGTGTATCATGTGGCCACAGCGGGGGATGTGCATGCCCAGACGCGAGGTGTGCAGGTACTCCTGGCAGATGGGGCAGCTTGACTGGGACATGTTCTCCACACACTGGTGAGTATACAAAGGTCATCACAGGGTCATTCAGAACTTACTTGACCTCCTACACACGTCAGAGGTCTCCACCACTCACTATGGGCTCACATGTTTGAGTTGCCAACTTCTCAAGTGTGAAAAATACTTTTAACTTAGTCTAAGGATGAGGGAGAGTCAAAACTTATTTTTACCCAGCTAGCTTCTCTGTCCATGACTACATGTGGAAGGGTGAGCATGTGAGTGCCACAGCTCAGACTGGAAGCACGTCATTTCTTCCAACCCTGACCTCCTGAGGCTACTGTGAACAAGGGGACACCGCTCGGAAGTCCATAGCTGGTGTCAGGGCTACCCTGGAGGTATACTCCCAATCAGACGGCAAGAAATCTTGCCTTCTAACCAAGATTGGCCAAAACCGGTTCTATGAACCGGTCGCAACCGATTGAGTGCAGTAGGCCTCTGCACCCGCCCGTCTAGACCGAATCCAGGGCCAAAGTGGCGTGTTGGTGAGGACAGCCACACCTCAGCCACCAGGGTCCCCTTCTCTGGTCGTACGGGTCGCACCCCACAGTCAACAGGGTGCCTCGCGTTGAGGGGATTTGGGGTCTATTCTTTGCTGGACCGGACCTTCCGTCGACAGAATGGAAAGAAAGATAGATGGATAGAAGACATAGCAAGAGCGGACAAAAGATGCCACCCCTACGTCAGAGAGCTAGTGACGTACGAGTGGCATCCCACCAGCGGGGGGGTTACACCCCCTGTTGATGGGACAGCCAACTATTTTTATTTTATTCCCCGGTCAGCTCGGGGAAGGACGAAAGAAGAAGGAAGAAAGACGATAGAAGACAGACGATACACCAAAGCAAGTGTCGCCCATGCGCACCTGAGCATATATGTCCATGGGCGACAAATCGCCAGTGAAGGGATTGCGCCTCCTGCTGGCGGAGTAGTGGGTCTATTTATATCCCCCCGACCCACTGGAAGCATGCAGGCCCTATATACAAGGCTGACCTACTTCGACCGGGAAGCGCACAGGCCCTATATAAAGGGCTGACCTACTTCGACCGGGAAGCGCGCAGGCCCTATATAAAGGGCATAGATGCTGACCTTTTTCAATGGAAAATTCCAGTATTCCTTATATGGAAAATGACGTAGTCAATTACAGGTCAAAGTTATAAATAGTGACCAATGACTTTGCAAGTTACCTTGACCTCGTTGAGCGTCTCTTGGCCAAGATATCGATCGATAAAGTGATGCTGTCCAGCTGAGCGACTACACGCTATGTGTTATCACTTGTTCTGCTGTGCTAATGTACTAATTGTTGAGTTTGTCGCGCTTTGTGCTTTGTGTGTGTTTATTTGATCGCTTATCATTTTTGAATGACTCATTCTGTCAGCTTTAAGAAAACATATGGTGTTATAAGCCTTTTATCATCTGTTGAGCCATTAATGGTCATTTTTTAGAAGCAGGTACCTCAGCCGATACCCCCCGCCATACCCCCATGTTTACAACCGATCGGCTGTGGTGGCGGGGCATTTTTGGCGGGTTACTTTCGGTGAAACGCTGAGCGCTTCTAGGGTTCACAGAAAGCAACTGATTTCTCTCTCCTGAAAAAAAATGTATTTCTGGGCTTAGTGCATTTAAAAAGCTATCTGGCTGTATGTTTGTGTTTTGTTTTTTAGAATGTCACCCGTCAAAAGCGGAATCCTTTCGAAAATTCAGGCCGGCAAACTGGGGGAAAAAATGTACACCAGCAGACAATGCTCACCTTGTGATTTCCTTTAAGTTCTTTGCTGAGGCATGCATTACAGGTGTCACAGTGGTAGAATTTCTCTTTCGGCCCAACTCTGAGGAATGGAACAATGATGATACAACAATAAGAGAAGGAAACTGAAAGCAGAATAATATTAACCCAGTTACTTGCCCAACAGACAGGCACTGGAGCAAACATATAAAAAAGAAAAAGGTTTTCATTAGATACTGAAATTTGACAATTTTCCACAGTATATCACTGTTCACTCTTTCAGTTGCTAGGCATAATAAAAAATCTGTGAAAACTGAGCTGCAACTTACATTTTCTGTCATATATCCCTCTCACTTCAAATAACAATTTCCACAGACAGTAACACACGATTGATTGAAATCTGACTTAGTGCCATGCCACAAATGCCAAGCTTCATTTCGAGAACTCATGTAAAATAAATATTCCATCATATTCGAATCACGCCAGTTACGAATTGTGTGCACAAGAAACTTATGAATAGATACTTTCCCTTCTTTCAGAGTAGGTTATTGCACATCACTGTTTATGAACTATGTATGTGTATGGCTATGTATGTGTATGGCTATGTATGTGTATGGCTATGTATGTGTATGGCTATGTATGTGTATGGTTGAGTCGTTTAACACTCACTGACTACTGGGCCCTTTCACCAGCCACAAGCGTTGAAGACTGGCGTTTTTTAAAGTATTTCAAAACACCACCACAACTCTCAGAATTACCCTATTGTAATTATTTTGTGACACAGTAAAGTTACATTCGAGCTTAATCTAATACAAAAAAACTAAAGTATACTTTAACTTTTTAAAATCTGCATGAATATGATTTTCCGAAAAATTTCCAGAGACATGACAGATTGGATGAAATTCGCAAAAACAAAAATAAAAGTTCATGCGACTTCTTCGACCGCTACTGTCAAATTACTATCAGCGGTATAGAAAAAACATGGCGCAAATTCTGGTCAGTTCAACCCCAGTTGGGGAGACTGTCCTTCACCTTCAATTACTTAAAAACTATAGACCCCAGAGATACGAAACTAAGTTTAAGTAGGTCAGGGCTGGCCAAACAAGGACACGAGACAGATCACACGACTCGTGCATCATAGCAACAAAAAAATTCCACAGTTGATCAGCAGGGCCTGCAGGAAGCGTCGCGGCGGGAATCACGCAACTGTTGCGGGTTCGTCTGAAGTGAGTTAAAGGCAGGAGACATAGAAATCTAGGAAATGACATTTGAGAGGATATAGAAACTGAACTTGAGCACTGTGAAAGTGAAGTCATTCCATGGTCTAAAAAGCTATAAGTAGTCTAAATGGCCATCTTCGACAGGCGGCCATCTTAAACTGTGTCATTATAATGTAAAAAATATGCAAGGGAGGAAATGGAAAGTGGTCGTTTGTCAAGGTTAAAGCCTTCTATAGATGGCTGTTAGAACACAATTGTGAGGCAGCGTGGTGGAATCAGGCGCTCCTCAAAATGGTCAAAGTGAAGAAAATGGCATTTTTCCGCTGGTTTGGGAATTTTTATAGAATTTTCGTTTTTTGGCTCAACACTTTTCATGCCCTTTAAAGAACACATTTCCGCGTGGATTGTGCTGCAAAACGTTGATTTAAGGCATAAGAGATGTAAATTTTCAGTTTCCATGGGCTCTCAAGCATAGGAAATAACTCAACTTCGGCAGCCATTTTCTCGGTAACTTTACTTCTGAAACCAGGCCACCCCACTTCCTTCAATCATCAATATCTTGACTTGTATCCAAGATAAATAGATATTGTTTTCATCAAAAACAAGGCAAATGGACAAGCTTTAAGATTATACCAATAACTCCATATGCCCCCAAATTGACGAGAGCCTGATTCCACTGCGTCGTGACACACTTTGACTCTGTAATTATCAAGCAATTTTCAACTTACAATTTTAAAATTTCACATTGTGAACACATGGAAAGAGAAACGTCAGGAGCAAAGAGCTGAACATACCTGCAGATCCCACACTTGTCACAGTGGAACTGGTCTTTGTTTTTGTCATACAGACGACAAACTGGGCAAAAATACTCGCCAAACACAGCGGAACACTTCTCACACTTATTGCACACCTGTAAACACAGACAAAAGATGTTATTGCACACCTGTAAATACAGACAAAAGATGTTATTGCACACCTGTAAACACAGACAAAAGATGTTATTGCACACCTGTAAACACAGACAAAAGATGTTATTGCACACCTGCAAACACAGACAAAAGATGTTATTGCACACCTGTAAACACAGACAAAAGATGTTATTGCACACCTGCAAACACAGACAAAAGATGTAACAGAATGTATGCAAAGACACAACACATGGTTGAAAACAGTTTTGTGGTCAGTGACACCAGATACTGGGACTGTGTCGCAGGCGAGACTGCACGCGTGTTCCCAGTGCAGCCTCCTTTCAGTTGAGCCTGCACAAAATTAATCATAAATCATCTATCTGCTGGTTAGCTAAGGAGGATTCACCTTGGTCATACAAAGAGTATCATTAGCTAAGGAGGATTCCCCTTGGAGGTACAAAGAGTATCATTAGCTAAGGAGGATTCACCTTGGAGGTACAAAGAGTATCATTAGCTAAGGAGGATTCACCTTGGTCATACAAATAGTATCATTTATCTTAAAATATTAAGCACACAGTAATATTTTTTCACCCATTATCTATGAAAAACAGCGAGTGAAGTGAACATCAATATCTGAAAATTATCCGAGGTCACATAACCTACTTGTAATTTTTACCTTCAAGTCAAAACTAACTGGCATAATCTGTAAACAAACAAAACCTCAAGTTTAAAAACGCCTGAAGTTTACAAAGGCACCATTTTCAAGCGCTAATAATGCACTTTAAGACAGCTTCCAATAAAACCTTCATCTTGTCTTCAAGGGCTAAAAATATCAATACTTTCAGTAGATTGTTGGTTTTTTTCCGAATGACTTACCCCTTGCAGAGTTTCACATTTAACACACTGAATCTCCTGAACCATGTGACGGTTCATCTCATGGTTGCTCACTTCATCGTGGCAAAAGCGACAAGGGTAAAATTTGGAACAGCATGCAGCCTGCGAAAAGGAACAAAAATTTCAAAACAGTGAAGGTGCAGCACTAATCTCAAACAGTAGCAAGAGATCTTTTGAAATTTCCAAGCTACATGAATATAACGCACGCACGCACGCACGCACGCACGCACACACACACACACACACGCGCGCACACACGCACACACACACACACACACACAATGTTAATAATAATAATAATAATAAATGACATTTATATAGCACTCAACCCAGATTAAAGTACCCAGGCTCTGAGCGTTTTACAATACAGTACAACCTACAACAGTAACATAAAACGTTGTGTTCTGACTAAAAGAAAATTACTCCATATATTCATCTTATTAATTTAAAAACAGAAACGACTTCAGTTGACATTTGAATCAAATGTTACAACATATTCCCACAAAAAGCGATTTTTAGAAATGCAGTGGGTGAAAGTGAATTAAGCCATATCACTAATCAAAAACTTCCACAACCATACCAACAAGACTGTGTCATTGCTTCATTTAATTCTTGGTCAAGTCTTCAATCTGGGCACTACTGCAGTAGGCCCACTACACACCCCATCTGGCATCTCTGATTATAGATTGTTGATGGAGGGATAACGTTGAGTCATGACAATCACGATAGATTATGAAGGCTGATAGTTGATGGAGGGATAACGTTGAGTCATGACAATCACGATAGATTATGAAGGCTGATAGTTGATGGAGGGATAACGTTGAGTCATGACAATCACGATAGATTATGAAGGCTGATAGTTGATGGAGGGATAACGTTGAGTCATGACAATCACGATAGATTATGAAGGCTGATAGTTGCTGGAGGGATAACGTTGAGTCATGACAATCACGATAGATTATGAAGGCTGATAGTTGATGGAGGGATAACGTTGAGTCATGACAATCACGATAGATTATGAAGGCTGATAGTTGATGGAGGGATAACGTTGAGTCATGACAATCACGATAGATTATGAAGGCTGATAGTTGATTGAGGGATAACGTTGAGTCATGACAATCACGATAGATTATGAAGTCTGATAGTTGATGGAGGGATAACGTTGAGTCATGACAATCACGATAGATTATGAAGGCTGAACAGAAAAACTGGAGAGTGGGGAAGGTGGGGCAAGCAAACCGAACATTGAAAAAGTCATACAGACCTTCAATTTACACAATCTGTTGTAATGTTTACAAGCTGACTCTTCAGCTGCATCATGGTCCTCTGCACAATCATCCTCTTTGCTCTCACAAGCTTTTTCATCAACCTCCATTTTAGAATCAGTATCAGGCACATCGCTGACGTCCCCTAATTCAGCCATATTGAGATCCTCTACTGATACTGTGGAGAGCAATAATACCAAAAGTTCATTAGGATCTGAAAGTGAAATTCTGATTAAATATAAAGATACAACATTATACAATCACAGAGTTTGGGGACCAAATCTAGTCTGATCCTCATTCTACAAGAACTCAATTTAAAAGTAAAACTCATTCATAGAATAAAAACTCTTATCGTATAGATTAAATTCTTCAGCTGCTGTGGGAAATATACTCTTCTCAGTACAGCAAAATTCTCTGCTTATTTGAAACTATAGGACATTAAAAGAGAAAGCGTGAAAATTATACAAATCAGCCTCTTTCAGAGGAAACTTTTAATACAAACTTTAAAAAAAATAAAAAATTAACAAATAAAACCAAGTGGTATTCAGGTGTGAAAAGAGATTTTTTACAATGCATTTGTGAACCCCCCTTTACATTCCTCAAAGTCAAAATCACACCTTTCTTCAATTTGCCTCTCTACCAAAAAAGTACATTAAGGCATAGCTATCATGCATACTAATCATTTTTTTCATAGTGTATATTTTTTTTTATGTTCCGAGCAATTTAAAGATCAGCAGATTGCGCTGTGCATTTTAACGATCGTATAATTGCGAGGCATTCTTAAGATTGCGCTGCACGTGACGATTGAATAATTGCGCGGCAATCTTCGTTAATATTGATAGAGTTATATAATCCTTTGTTGTTTGGAAATTTTTTTTTCTCAGCTTTGATTTCAGATAAACGTTTCCTTGTTTGCCTTTGTTGTGTAGTCTGATTTTGCAACCGTTGTTCACTTTTGACGCCACTAATACTTATCTAAATTTGTGTCGAAAATTTAGGCCAGATTGTAGAAAAAGAGGACGGTCAAGGTCGAATTGCCTGTCCGTTTCACATCCAGTACACCCGTTGATTGCACAAGCGCATTGGAGTTTTGAGTCCGAATAGCCACGGGAGGCTATTCAGACTCAAGTCCGCACAGCCGCGGCCTCGCTTTAAATGGAGAGGATAGCACAGGTTCCAATCTCCTCACTATTCTCTGTAATCTCAGAAAAAGCTTCTGTCATGAACTAGGGTCGCTCCATGGGATTTTTGAGGGTCTCAGTCTCAAATAATTTTGCTCCGACCTATCTATCAGAGATGGACATTAATATAGATTCTAAATCTAAACCTGTAGTCAAGATCTAGAGTAATATTACCATTTGGTCAAAATTTGGACGAAAATAGGCATGTCAACTTTAAAGCTTTATATCTCCAAGCTGCCTGGCCCGAGAGGTAAAGCGAAACTAGCTACAGGAAGCTCGGTGATTGGATGACCCCAGGAATGTACTGTTTCAGCTTGTTTGTTTATTTGAGGCCCTGACTGGGTGCGACAGTGACGCCAGATTTATTCACGTGTTTGGTCAGGCAGTATTTTGACATTCGGTCATTTTCAGTTAGGCTGTAGTTATTCAGACAGGGTGTGTGAATACTACAAAATATAATTGGCACAGGGAGTTTCCAAAGAAAGATTGAAATTAATTGGGCGTAGCATTTCCTCATTTTTTTCCCCTCATCGCGTAGGGACAAAGATCATGAAAAACAAGACAGTTCACTTCTCTCTTTGAGCCAATTAAAAATTGTCCTCAAAACTTGGAAAAAGTGCGGACTTTGCGAACAGAGTTACCCTTGAATCTACTTGTGTAAAAAACAATAAAAGTGAAATTAACAGAGGGTGCTTATCCTATTCTTTTCCTGAGAAATGAAAGAGAGCTTCAAAAAAAAGACTCCAGCGCAATCTGAAGCAATGCGCGGACTTCTGCGAACACTTTATGGACTGAGTGAACAATCATGTTATGTGCTATCTTTGGCAGTGATAGATCTAATTCTAATTGTGCAATGCGATACGAAACACCCCCCCTCAAAATGGAATTCAAGTTGCGTATTGTGTCAATGATAATGACTCAAATTTCTCTTTTTTTCATTTTTTTATTTCATTGCGCCTTGAGAGAGAGAAAGAGAGAGAGAAAAAGAGAGAGAGAGAGAGAGAGAGAGAGAGAGAGAGAGAGAGAGAGAAAGAGAGAGAGAGATGAGTGCATGCTTTAACCCTAAAACTGAAACAAGTATGACATTAGTTAGGCTAGTTAGTGAATGTACAGTTGTATTAACATTTAAAGCCTTTGCCAAAAGGTGGTACACCCGGGTCTGACAAACGAGGTCCAAAATCAACATAGGCTCGACCCTTAGCGAATAGAATTATTTCTTATTCACACACCGGTGTGAATAATATTAATTGGTAATTCTTATGCGCACACCGGTGTGAATAATCACTTCCTTTCAATTATTATTATTATCACATTTGTTTCTTTGCAAGCTTAACCCTCGTCCTGCGTCTGTGCTGAGATGCGAATCTTATCAGCAACCGCCGGGGTCACTCAGTGTGTACTGTTGGTGTACAGCGTGCGCGCCGCGTAACATGAGTTTTCGCCATGAATACCGTGGGAGTGTGTTAATCGATGATGAATATAACGCTGTATCTTTCATAGCTTTCTATAAAACTATAAAGTGTTACAAACACATAATAACCCCCTCTCACAAGCTGATAAGACATTATGAGTAGTTACGCCCAAGGACAGTGCAGCTTTGGAAGTCACCTTTTTAGACGCTCTTTTTGTTATGAATGACCTGAGGATCGAAAGGGGATAATAAATATTATAAGTCAATTTCTGGATGTTTTCCACTCAAATTGTTCTTTGTACCTGCACAATGGTGTTCAAAACTATCAAACAAGCTTATTTCTCATCAGGTAGCATCATTTCATACAAAATCAAGCTCATTTGAAAGATTTTGTATAGAAAAATGGAAGTCTTGTTTCCTGACTATCCTTTCGAGCTCCTCATATCTAAATGAGTCAATTTCTTCTATAATTTCATTGGACGAACATCTAGAGCTACCAACTTGGCGTGTTTTGAATGAGACGTATCCTCGATTACGATTCACGAACACAGGCGGTTCTAGAAGAAGGCCACAAACACACACAAACTCAAGCACACTGACGCACACACACTTGACCTGCGTGAATGGGGATCCCACTCGGGACCCGAATTTCACATGAGATGAAGTGCGGTGCGCGTCCGCAGAGCCAGGGGCTAGACTGACTCGGGACCAGAACGCAGGCGAGGTGCCGAAATAGGCTTATCAGGCGACATAAACCCGGCTCCCGCAGGACGAGGGTTAATAGCATGATTCTTAATGCTTGTTATCAACACTTGGACACAAGGATAGAAGTGTATCTAAAGTGGTTTTCACCATTTATAGCTATTTTAATGAGTAGGTCTATAATGTTAACTATGTACAGTGGAGTCCACTTACAACAATTCCTGAAGTAACGAGAAGTCTGTTATAATAAAAGACAATATTCTAAAACCCCGTTTTTTTCCCTTATCTTTATCTTTGTAAATAAAATACTGCTATAGCACAATCAGATAAACGCGCAAGTCGATAGCGGAATATTGCTGCTGCTGTGCACAGCGCATGCCATTTACACATGATGAAAACCTCACCAGTTGAGAAACTTGTTGGTGATCAAGCGAAAGAAAGAATGGGAGAGCCCATGTGAGCCAACGGTGTAGGCCGGAGCGAATGAGTGGGGAGGGAGTGGCAAGTGCACACAAGCCGTTGTGAAGCAGAACGCATTGCCTGATAGTGATAGGCCAACCTAGTCTAGATTATCTAAGCCTATCATGCTTCTCACTTCTCCGATGCATGCAGGGATGGAGAGGTCACTGTCACTGTGCTGTGATGGATCATGGAGCCAATGTGTGACGTGCGCAAGCAGACGCGGGAACGCACCACAGGGTAGGGCTGGATCCTGCTCGTCAAATTTGAGAGTGGCGATTCGTGATTCAGTCGGCTTCAATGAATCACGAGTACGCGAGCGCTCGTGGAGCTGTGGCGGAACACTGACTAAAACGGAACAGTGTCATATCAACGCCTCTTGTCTAGCGCGAGTCCCACTCTTGTTGTTCCGCCATCCTCTCCGCCCCACACCCTTTGTTGCGCTGCTTTATCAACTGACCTCAATTAGTGACCCCCATAAATTCCCCCCCCCCACCCCACCATTCCCTAAAACAATGGCAATGGCTCCATAAAATTCCTTCTGTCTATTGGTTGGACCCCGTTCATTTTGTTTTATTAGGGGGGTTGGACTATACTATACAATCTTTTGTAAAATAAGGGGAGCCATACTAAGTCAAGTGTTCCGTTCCGTTCTTGCGCTCGTGACTCGACTCAGCAGTAGGTTAAACAAGCCACAAGGCGTGACAAGGTGGTGACAGCGACAGGGGAGTGAATCGGGAATCGTTTGGCGGTACTGTTCCGCGTTCCGCTGAAGTGAATCGCGTTCCGCAGGAAAAGGTGACGATTCAGTTCCGTTCTCGTGCTCGTGACCCAGCCCTACCACAGGGTGTGGTCCAGTGGTGAGGTGGGGGAAAACACAGCGGGCAAGTTAGCCTAGAAAACTTTCGTTCTGATAGCCAACGCCGAGCTGTTAACATCGATAGCGCTAGAGAAAGAAACCTGATTCAATTTAATTTTTGATCAAATAGATCTCTAGATCTAAGTAATAGTTTAGTTGACTTTACTTTGCCTACATTAGCCTACATTACATGGCAACTTTCGTCCCTCCTACGCCTAGCAATCACTTCTGTTTCTTATGTAACTTATGTCTTATGTAAACAAACGGGATGGCAATTTCCAAAGAGCCTCCCAATACGTCTAACTTTTTTGTAGCCTAGATTAGTCAATTACAAGGTACATCAACAATGCAGGAAGACAGAGTTACTAACCTAAGCTTTTTCTCAAGACCAAGCAGCCTGTGCCCTGTGTTTGGGTTTGGAGAAATGGAAGGAAGTAGGAAATGCTGTTGACTGTAGATCTAAGGGAGTTTACTCCGAGCCTGTTCTTGGAGTTATTGTTTCTAGATCTACCTTCATGTTCCGAAGATTTCTTGTTCTTCTGAGGTTGAAACAAAACAAAGTACAAAGTTTAGCGAAAGGTTAGAGACCGTTGCTGTTGTTTATGTTACAAATTTTAGTTTTCAGGAATATTAGAATACACTTGTTATAACGTCGTTACTGTTCCATGTAATCCAGACATCTGATCTCACTTGTAGATTCTAAGGCTTGCTCTATCCTGTTTTCTAAATGTACAGAAGTCTAAGCAAGATAGATTTTAATTCTTGTAAGTCTTGTGATTATTATCAGAGAGTATTTAATTATATTGTCTCTGTTATTATTACCTGAGCGTGTGGGCCTGGCCTGAGAAAGTGCTGATGAAATCGACGTTGCCAGTTGGAACTTTGGACTAAAATTTTAGGCCACCTGGTCTATATTCTCACCAAAGGTGGGAATAACTCATGACCCGCTATTCTCCCCCCCCCCCCCCCAGGGGTGAGAAAAACTCATGGGCCGCGATCCCCCCCCCCCCCCCCCAATTTAAAAAGGTGGGTGGCCCCCGAGTCGCCTCGGCCCCTAAAGTATTGTAGATTGAATATTTGAGGAAAACACAAACCGGAATTTTAGAAAAACAAAAGAAACAACTAGACTAATCAGGGCTTTTTCAGTAGTTCCCACCCAGCAATTGTTATTCTCTCTGGTTTTGGCCCTAAGTCGCCCCTCAGAATCTGACCACGATTTGATGTTTTGCAATTAGGTTTGATAGAATCTAGGCTATCTCTCCATCGGCACGTGCATCAAAAAGTTATCGTTCAGAACCAGAAGTAATCGTCGGTGGGGTCAAAACTAGATTTAGATTCTAGATTTTCTCCGGGTTATTTCCCTGTCACAAAAGTCGGGACCACCATATCCAAGGAGTGCCGACTACTGGATATCGATACTGATTTAAATGTTCGGCATCGATGTTTTATCAGTAGATCTAAATCTAGATCTTGGCTCAAATAAGGGGGGTGGGAACTACCGAAAAAGCACCGACTAATCTAGATCTAGATCTAGATTAGATATATTTTGTATGTAAAATATTAATAATATACTAGATCTAGATTCTAGTTCTTGGCCACATGCGACTAAACATAGAACACGCAAACTATTATTAGGTAAGGCGGCTATCTTGTGTGACGCAGACCGGGATACCCCTCCGATCACGTGACTACATGATCTAAACATAGCCAACCGCATGGCACCAAAGATTGTATGGCACGACGATTGGTGCGATGTTTTTCCAGGAGACGTACCGGTAATGTAATATGATGCGGTGCTCCGATGATGCTGCTGCTTATCTCTTCTGTGCATTATTTATTTTCGCGCACTTTTTATAGTCTTTGTGTTTACCATGTTTCAATTTCAAGCATCAGCGTTTTTACCTTTCTACTTTCTGAGCATGAACGATGTAAGCGATCTTCCATCACCAGAGCTTGGCTGACGTGCTGCAGTTAGCTGCAAGTGTGAAATATTACAACTGGAGAGGTATCACGTTGCTATCAGTTCCCAGCAAGATTCTGGCCAAGATTATTATTAACCGGATGTCGGATGCCGTGGACAGCTGCTTAAAAGAGAAGAACAGGCAGGATTCCGCAAAGAAAGAAGATGCACAGATCAGATATTTGCCCTCCGCAACATAACTATAATAGAACAGTGCACGGAATGGCAGAGGCAACTTTATGTCAACTTTGTTGATTTTGAAAAAGCATTCGACAGTGTGCATAGAGAAAGTCTTTGGTGCATTCTACGATATTATGGAATCCCTTGCAAGATAGTAGAGGTCATCAAGAGCTTCTATCAAAACTTCAAGTACGTTGTTGGAAACAGTACCACTGCTTTTGAGGTAAAGACAGGAGTTAGACAAGGATGCAACATGTCAGCAATTCTGTTCAACCTGGCCATTGACTGGGTCATGAGGAAAACAACAGAGGATACATCAAGAGGAATAAGGTGGACCCTCTTCTCCACCCTCGAGGATCTTGACTTTGCCGACGACCTTGCACTACTCTCCCACACCAACCAGCACATGCAGGAAAAAACAAACCGACTCCGCAAATACGGACGCCAGATTGGGTTAAGAATATAAGCCAGAAGAAGACAGAAGTGATGACACTGAATGTGGGCTTCCCAACGCTGATTAGGGTGAACAGCGCAGACCTGCCTATATGACAGACACATTTACCTACCTAGGCAGCATAAAATCAAAACTGACGGCGGCGCAAAGGAAGACATCATGAACAGACTCGGCAGGGCAAGATCTGTACACAGAAGCATGATCAACATCTGGAAGTCAGGACAATTTAGTATACAAACCAAGTTAAAGCTGTAACAGCTGTGTACTATCCACACTCCTATGAGCTGAATGCTGGAGGATGACTGATCATGACCGTGCCAAGCTATCTTCCTTTCATACAACCAGCTTACGCCAAATCCTCAGAATCTTCTGGCCTGACAAGATCTCCAACCCAGATCTTTTACGTAAATGTAAGCAAGAGGACATGACCACCATAATAAAAAGGAGAAGATGGAGATGGATTGGACATGTGTTCTGAGAAGAGAACCAGACTCTATTGTGAAGACTGCCCTCCTACTGGACACCCGAAGGATGTCGCAAAAGGGGCAGACCCAAAATAACCTGGAGACGCACAGTAGAGTCTGAAATGAAGTCCTGGAATCATTCGTGGGGAACGCTGACCAAGATGGCCCAAAACAGACAGAGCTGGAGATCCTTTGTTGCTGCCCTAAAGACCAGATGGCGTAATGGGTAGCAAGTAAGTAAGTAAGTGAAATTTTACAGTGCGAAACACATCAATACGGAAAAATCATAATAGGTCAAGCCACCGACCCAACATGTCGTTTCATGCGGTGATCTCCAAAGATCATGCATGTAGTGTAGTTACTTAGAGAATCTTTGGTATCTCCGCGGTCTTCTAAAAATAGTCTGTGGGTATCCCTGGATGTAATGACATCACATATTAGTAAAATTAGCAGCCAATCATTCAGGTGCATCATTCTACGTTTAGCCGCATGTGTTCGGCCTGCTTCAAACGTTCCATCCCATGAGATGAAGAAGCGAGCGTTCTTACAGAATTAAGGTGGGAATATAATGGGATATGGGAAATTACGATGGAGACTTTTGAAACAGATATATTCTATGATCATCTTAACCAGATCTTTGCTAAATTAAATCTTTAATGTACAGCAAATAGAATTATAATAGGCCTAATTATAATGTAAAAACATTGTTCACCTCTCCTGTAAAAAATGATTGTGTCACGACGTAGTGGAATCAGGCGCTCGTCAATATTCGGGTGTGTGGAGTTATTGGTATTATCTTAAAGGTTTCATTTGCCCCCTGCTTTCGAGGAAATAAACGTCCTGGATTTATCTGGAATGAAAGTCACGGTTTTTGCTACTGAAAGAGGTGGGGTCGCCTGGTTTCAGAATAAAAATTAGCGAGAAAATGGCCGCCAAAGTTTGGTGACTTCCTCATAGCTGGCACTTTACCGATAAATAGCGGTAACTCCACTTCATCAGGCTTTTCCCGCAATTCATATCGTTTATCATACTTGCTTTGGCGCAAAAATGTTTATTTAATTTGTACGGATTTTCCCGAAAATGAGGTACTCATCATCGGTATCTTTGCTTTAAATGTAAAATGTATGGGAAGCCAATATATGTAAATGTAAGGCAGTGCGGTGAAATCAGGCGCTCATCAAAATAATCGAAGTGAAGAAACTGGATGGTACTTTTCCTTTCCACTTGTAGATTCTCTAGTCTATTTTTTTTCCCCAATAATGTCATGCAAAATATGTATTGTGAATTAAGAAGAATAGGTAGGTCAAATTTCTCACCTTTTGAATCAAGATTCTCTCTAGATTCTCATCTCAGCTTTTTAAGTGATAAATTTTACATGATTTATAAACAGACTGCAGCGGTTCCAAAAGAGCTACTCGATTATCTTAAGAAAAAGCCAAAAAGAATTCATTACTCTTGTATTAATAGAGTTACATTGGCTACAATAAAGGACAAAATTGTGAGGCGTAGTAGGGAAATCAGCTGCTCATCAAAATAATGAAATCAAAGAAACTAGCATTTTTCTGCTAGTGTTACTGATGTTATTTTGTTTTTGGCTCAACACCTTTGATGTCCATTTAACACATTTCTGTTTTGATTAAATTATAAAAGACCATTGACCAACTCGACAACAACAAAAAATGTGCAGTTTCCAAGGACAGTGCAGCTTTGGAAGTCACCAAACTGTGGCGCCCATTTTCGCTCATTTCACATTTCTGACAGTTCTGACAGCAGGCAACCCGCACCCTCTTCTTCAATCGCGAAACCTCGACTTCTATTCAAGATAGATGTGTTTTGGGGGTTTTTTCTCCACAAAAAAAAACCAGGGCAAATTATGAATAGGCTTTAACTAAGATTAAGCCGATAACTTCATATGCCGAAAAATTTACGAGCGCCTGGTATCAGTATCATCATCTAGTGACACAATTGCCCTTTTATGCCACAAGTGCATGAACAACAAAGCACCACAATATGGTAAAGACCTTATTGAGTTATGTTTGTACCATTAAGAAATTTAAGATCTGTAAAGAAGAGTCTCATGAGAGTGCTCACAGTAAAGTCTAACCAGTTTGGTGAAAGAGCTATTTCTTCCTATGCCCCCAAAATTTTGAATTCCCTCCCAAAAGAAAGGCATATATCATAACATCAGAGAGAGAGAGTTTGAGAAAAGTCTTAGAGCTTTTCTCCTTATGCGCGATGTGACGTCACGTCGCGGGTAGTCCTTGCCTCTCTAAAATCAACCAAGTAAGATTATGAGGAACCCATCTCCTTACAAGTGACATGACGTCTAGTCGCACGCTACCGTCGCCTGCGATCGGTTCATGTAGTGATTGAGTCTCGAAGCGTGCGACAGACTGGGGGTGTGACTGGTTTAAAGCATCACATTTGGTCAAAATACCTAGCCAACGAGTGTCGATCGACACGCAGTGTGTGGTGTGGTGTTGTGTGTGTCTATGTATTGTGTGTGTGTTTGTGTGTAGGATGTTTATCTTCCATTCAACCCAATGCAAGTTTTGTGAATCTAATTTTGTTGTTTTGTTTTTTCAACGGACAGAAGGAGGAGGAGGAGGAAGACTTACACGGGATTGGCCATGTATGGAATAAAATATGTCAGCGGCTCGAGAACTCCCGTTTGATGGATTTTGTACTTCCTTGTCCATCTTGACATTAAAATATGCCTCTATCTCTCGTCTATGAATTGCCAGTTGTGCGAGGGCTTACCCAGTCGCGCGCGGCTAATCGTCACGTCACGCAAGGAGACACTTTTGTCGCTTTTATTGCACGCGGCTGAAAATTTTGGTGTGATGTGGTCGCGCATAAGGATACACACCTCGCGACTCATCAATAGCGACTGTTGTGCACGACTAAAATAGGCCTAGAGAGATACATTTGTTCAACATTATCCTCTGCCAGTAAATTGTGTACGTGAGAATGTGTGTGTGTGCGTAGTTAAATACAGTGGAACTCGGATTTAACGAGCTCGAATTCAACGAGAACTCGGATTCAACGAGATGAAATAGATTCCCCGTTTTTTTTCTTCTTTAAAATCAATAAAAATAACCCGGATTCAACAAACACTTAAATCAGCGAGCTGGGATTCAACGAGGTCGCTGCCAGGGTGAACAGCCCCCACAGACGTGGCTTCGCTCATTTTTCTCCCAGAACGAACTTTATCTATTCCCGGAAACCATCCATTGTTCCTGCATCGTGAACCGTTATTCATTGCACTTACCCGATTACATGCGACCAATCAGCGGCCTTTTTTCATACCAACACATGCGTTGTTGGCAAGCACATGTGTCTACTCTGGCGTGTGTCGGGGTCGGACTGGCGGCCTGCACACGTGTGACTGTGTGTGCGTGTCGGGGAAGGGAGAGGGGGGGGCACTAGCGGTCCGGGCGTTGAACATCACAGATATAAAGGCGTCAGTCTTTTTTCCCCCTCGGCAACTGATCATTATTACAATGATAAGCTAGTCTTGACGTTGATCTACGTAACGAATTGTGCACTGGTCTGTGGAATCAAAAGTTGCCGTATGCTAGGCTCTGCACATCAACACAACTTTATGGTAGACAATTGAGATGACACAGGCGTGTGCATATGAACGAATTGGTCTTTTTTCTTTTCCACAGCTCATAATATGCAGGCATTTCAGGCACTACTTGTGACTTCTCTTTATACATTACTTGCTCAGTGCCTGTAATTATCTACACAAAACCTTGTGTTTGCTATAACGAACACTCGGATTCAACGAGATTTTAGGTCAGGCCCGGCGGTCTCATTGAATCCGAGTTCCACTGTAAATGGTCTTACAATGTGCATTTTCTTTCCTTTGATTCATTAGTTTGATGATTCTGAAATGTACAGGACTTACAGCCGGATTGAGCGCTATATAAATTTTCATTATTAATTGGAAATCCACCATTAATATTGTAGGCCTCTATGTTTATTCTGTGAGTTAAACAGAATGAAGTCAATCATTTAGTCTATAGCTTTTCTCATTCAATTCATAAATTTCAAGTTTGTTTTTTTTCTACTGTACTGTAGCTTCTTGCCCCCCCCCCCCAATCTCTGGATGAATATGAGGTGAATATAAATCATACTTGATACATTATTATACGATATGAGAATTGCCATCAGAGGGGGTTTTCTGTTCTTTTGTTTTGAAAAATCCCATTAAAAAAAGTTGCTCTAAAATCAAATATATTTGATATGGCCCTAATTTTGAGTAAAGATCGTCTATTTATACCTTTCTGCATGTCTCGATTATGTTTGATGTCTTGATAGCCAGATTTTCTTTGTGATAATGAGTATGATTGTTTTCAAGAGGAGGTGATTGATATGCCGTCTTCTCTCTTCTCCATGATTTGTTCATAATTTTAATTATAATTTTTTTTTTTTTAGGTGATGTGAGAACTCCATGTGTTTGTAATTTTTTTTAAATACTTACTTTTGAGAAAAAGCAACCACTGCTGTACAATGCCTGTGGGCTCCATGGCAGGGGTGAAGATCTTGACAGCTCCTACTAGAAATGCCATTTTCACGTCATCCAGAGGAGCATGTCAACACACCAGAGGCAAAGTTTCCGAATTTTGGAACAAGAGATCTGTGATCCCAAAGTCAAGTGACTCTGTGCAGTGTTTGCTCAACAGGCTAACTTCCAACAGTGTGGGGCCTCCTCTATTTCTCAGGGACTTTCTTTGCCAATGTAAACTATCCCAGTTCTCCCGGAACAAAAGTTTTAGGCCACAGACAAAAAGTAGAAATAGAGTTGGAGAACTTTTGTGTGGCAGCAGCACAAATGTCGTGAACAGCTTGCCAAAAAGCAAGCCAGTAGGCTGGCAACATGCTCGTCCATTTCACACAAGTCCTCGTCGGCCCATCTCACCTATCCTGTTGATGCTTGTAAAACCCTTTGCCAAGCTTGCTGCAGCCTTGACTGGGAGGTACAATAGAATAGAATATGTGTGTTACTTTTTGTGATTTCCTTTTGCTTTTCTTTGATACGGGAGTTCCAATAGCTGATGAGCTTTCTCCATTTTGATTCATTCCAATGAAGAGCAATTTGGTTTACTTGGCGCTTCCTTTCATTATTGTCGGTCAATGTGTAGAAGTGGAAGATGGTTGGGGGTGTTCGAGGAAGGCTCACTTTTCAATCTTTTACCTGAAGTTTGTGGGTTGGGTTTTTTTTACTATAGGGCAGGCGGTTTTCAACTGGTAAAGTTTATATATATGAAAGACTCCGAGACTTGTCCCTTGTCCGTAGTGTGTCTGTTTCCGGACTGCTCTCCATGGCATGTCCTATTTCCTATTTGCACACTCTTCTGTGTGTGTTCGCTTCGGGTGCTGTTTGGTTCTAACTGGTACACCGTTCATTATGATAAATGATAATCAATTTTCCCCAAAGCTATAATTGTGAAATTCTATTATCCTGATCTTTGCCTCTCACCCATCTGTTCAGGTTTTCCACGTAGGAGTTACTCTGAGTTTGCCCCTGCTTCGTTTGCCTTTAACTCTACCAGTGAGAGCTGGATGTTCAAAGCCCTTACTTCTATTCAAGTGTCCCAGGAACTGCATGAATTGTCTCGTCTGAATTGTTTGGATCAGCGAGCGTGTCCTTGTAGGCTTCTTCAAGTGTCCCAGGAACTGCATGAATTGTCTCGTCTGAATTGTTTGGATCAGCGAGCGTGTCCTTGTAGGCTTCTTCAAGTGTCCCAGGAACTGCATGAATTGTCTCGTCTGAATTGTTTGGATCAGCGAGCGTGTCCTTGTAGGCTTCTTCAAGTGTCCCAGAAACTGCATGAATTGTCTCGTCTGAATTGTTTGGATCAGCGAGCGTGTCCTTGTAGGCTTCTTCAAGTGTTGCCGTGATTCTTTTCCTTCCAAGAAATTCTGAACAGTCCCTTCAAGTCCTGTACAGTGCACAGTTTTCATTCAATACAAAAGACAAATCAATAGACAGAAAATGTTCATTGTGATTGTGAGAGTATCACACAACACACATCACACACACACATCACACTCACACATCACACACACACATCACACACACACATCACACAACACACATCACACACACATCACACACACATCACACAAACACAAACGTAGACACACACACATTTTCACCACATATTCAAGAACTTAAGCAAAAGAGTTTGTGCAGCACATAAAATAAATGGTGTTAACTATTACTTGGGTATACAATATTACCTCTGAAGGGAACAAGTGTGCGCGGAACAGGAAGAAAAAAGTGTGCAAAATAGAAAAAAAGGACAGGCCACAGAGAGCAACCCGAAACTGGACATGTTATGGAGGTCAGACATATTTAGTCGATAAAATTGCTTGGTAAATAACAGTATCTTTTTGTCATCGTTCTTTTAGTTTGGCTCTTGGTGTAAGGTTCTCAGTTTTCTCCACTTGTCGCCTTGTCATCATATTATGTGCTAGCAGAAGTGTCTGACATCTCTTTAATTTTCATGTGTGATAGAAAAGCATAAGATTCACCTGATTTCAAATCAACTACTTTGGGGAATTGCGTAATGATTCTTTTGATTCTCTTTTTGTTCTTCTGTAAAAATCAGTATTGATAATACAGTCGAACCTGCCATGACCATTCCCCCCCTTGCGTTTTTTCTATATAATTTAACTGTGTAAAATGGGCACCTGTCCAACGCGGCGGCGGCCACCATATTTTAACACACAACCCCTGTCACTCCAAACAATAACACTTGTCTTAGACGGCCACCTTAGTGACTCCATAACGTTTTGTCATAAATCATGCATTGGCCCCTGGCGTTGTGGGCGAGCCTTCATAATCCATTCACCTGTCCTTGTTGTTAGGTAGTCCCTCCAACCATCATGTTGCGTAGGCCCCTCCCACTGTTGACCAATAGATAACAAATTTTCCGCTGCTTGTGACAGAAACGTTGCTGGTTCTCCTAGTGGTGGCGACCCATGTGTTTTTTTGTCCTTCTTGTCAGACACTTTTGGTTTATTGTCCCCCTTGCACAAAAGCAGAAAATTTAAAAAATAAAATAAAACCCAGGGAAAACAACAACTTTAATGTGGCTACCTTAGGTTGGGGCCTCAGAAAGGAATGGTTTGTTTTCTTCATCTTGATCAGTCCTGCCTAAGATGGCCACCTGTCTTATACGTTCACTTTTCTCCTTGACAATGGGTGGCCGTCTTACACAGGTTCGACTGTAGAAGCTAAAGTAACTTGATGTCTCATAATTTCACTACTAAAATGCTGAAAATATTTTCGTTTTTTTCTCTCCTTTCTTTGCTGATATATGCGCATTTCAATGTACTTCCATTTTATAATATGCTTAGATTTCCTGTACTGTAAAGCATGTATTATAAGTTTCCATAACTTTTTCAGATCTGTGCGCAAGTGGTTCAGGGGTTTGGGTCCTGAAGAGCGTGAGAAAGTTTGGGCAGCCATCCGCAGGCGATGGTACATTCCAGCTGGTGGGTCGGTGATGCTGACTGGTTCTGGCGTAGTCTACTACTACACTCACATAGAAGAGACGCCTATCACTGGGAGAAAGCGCTTTATCGCCTTCACACACGAGCAGATCCTAAAAATTTCTGATGAAGAAAAAATCACAGTTAGTACTGTCTTTTTTTTTTCTTACTTTACTAGAGATTGGGGGGGGGGGGGGGGTTGGGGGGATTGTTGGGCTTTTTTTTGTATCTTCCAAGGCAGACAGAAGTCTTGGTTGTTTTGTTGGTCATGATTTGAATGAAAAAATGCATGGATGATCATTCTGGATGTAAGTCGCAGTTTTATTGAAGTTGTGCATGACACTGCTTACTTTCTTTTCCCAACCTGGAAACCATCTGAGCTCCAGCAAGTCCTGGTCTTGTTGGGATGCTCAAACCAGTTTTCTTAGTTTGAAATATTTTGTCCTGTTTCACTCTTGAATGTGTAGTCCCTGACATTGTAGTTGTCAGAAAATTAATGTAGAAGATGGGGAATGGTAATGTAAAGAAGATGGGGAATGGTAATGTAATGTTGTTGTGTTTGGTAATAGATGGTGGCTTGTGACATGGAAATCATTGAAAATAGAGGAAGATATTTTCTTTTTTATCCGTGCATACACTATTTGAAAAACTTTTCTGTCCATCTACAGCTTCAAGCAGCATACGGTAGCCGCCTGTTCACTGAAAATGATATTGAAACATTACGGGTAATTGATGTGATGGGAAGATTGTTGGAGGCCAATCCTGAGATGAGGTCTGGTGTCCCCTTTGACAAGTGGGAGATTTATGTTGTCAACGATCCTGTCTGCAATGCTTGTGTTCTGCCAGTAAGTAGACACTACACTTCTTGTTAAAATCAATCTTTTGAGGAATCATTGTTTGGGTAAAATCATTCATGTTTTATCTTTTACATTTAGAATCTTACTGTGTGGAGAAGTTGTCATGAATGACATTTCTATACTTTTCTTGCACTGTGTGGAGAAGTTGTCATGAATGACATTTCTATTTCTATACTTTTCTTACAATGTTGGTTAATATTTAGAAATCTTTCCTGCTCACTTTTGAGAAACCAGCATTTTGTCCCAATGTGCAAGTTTCATGTTTATCGTTTAGAATCTTGCTATGTGGACATTAGTATAGTGCCATAAATAACATTACAGTGGAACCTGTGTAAGACAGAATCGCAAGGGAGCCAGAAAAAATTCCATCTTAGATCGGGGAATTTAGGGGGAAATGGAGAGGCCGAGTTGGTGGGACCGAGTGTCACTTGTCCGGGGGGCAAGCAGTGGTCAGAACTTCACACCTCTATAGTGCTTTCCTCTCTAATCATGAATGTCATGCGTCAGTCCTGCGTCAGTTCTGCGTCAGTCCTGCTTATCCATTACCACCAGTGTTTGCATTTCATTGGACCACTGGTTGACCTATTAAGAACAGAAATGTTTGAATATTTCCTATGCTTCCACCCTTATCCCTATGCATAATTGTAAAAAGGATAGTCAACCAATGTCCCTGTGCGATGTAAGCAGCAGGCATTGGTCCAACTAATTTCACACCTCTGGCCTCTGGCTGCCCATGAAATGTTGGTGCCGGAGCACCAGTCTAGCACTTTCACAGGTGCTGGTGAGATTTCCTATCTGCGCCACCCTGACCATCTACACTGCTAAGGGCTCACATAAATGGGGTAACATCTACCCCCAAATTGCACCCCTACTCCCCTTCCTGGCCCCACAGCCTGGCATAAAGGTTAGAGCTGATGGAACCAAACTTGACAGTTTTGCTTCAAATCAGGGTTGAGTGGGCAAAGCATTTTCCATCTTAGATAGAAGAAAGTTAAAACCCTCGGAAGGGAAGGAATTTTTCTTTCCGTTTCCGCATTCGACAGATTTTTTTAGTTTTTAAAGTTAAAGCAGCAGTGTGTATTAGATGAGGGAAGATTACTGTAATTGTGTTCCCACTACTTCTTTCAGTCTTTATATATCACCTTTCTATTTTCTTCTCCATTTCTTTTAAAGCAAATTTACCTTTTCTTTTATTAACTTATCTAAATTGGAAATCAATTTCTATTAGTTTTTAAATTTCTGAACAAGAGCAAGTAACAGCTCATATCAGTTTTTATTTCATTGAGATTTTAAGAATAGGAAGAATGTAGAAAGTTGGCTAATATCCTTCAACTGTTGGGGAGTGTGGATTGTAACGACCACATCATCAGGGCTTTTGTTTAACCTGTCAGTAAAGGGATGAAAGAAGGTGCTGTGATTTCTACTAATTCTACCTCTGTCATTGTTTAGCACAAAATACTGATAAAACACATTTACTGCTAAAGCTTTTAAGCTGACTGAGTTCATTAGTTTTATCATTTTTAATGGTTTTAATATCTTATAGTGGTAGGGCAGTCTGATTGCATGCATGTGTGATGGAACATTAAACAAATCTCATGACTGATAAAGACCTAGCATTATTGAGAATAGTAAAGGACAGTGGTATCAGAGGAATGAAAAACATAGCCAAAAAAAACATGTTCTTTAACTGCAATTTGTTGACTCATCTCTGTCTATAGGGAAACAATAAATTGTGTCACGGCGCGGTGAATTCAGGCTCTTGTCAATTTTTGGGCATGTTGAGTTATTAGTATCTTTTTAATTCTTGTTCCTTTGTCTTGCTTTGGAGGAAAAAAACTCTTCATTTATCTTGAATACAAGTGGAGATATTTGTGATTGAAGGGGGTGGGGGTTGCCTTGTTTCAGAGGTCAAATTAATGAGAAAATGGCCGCCAAAGTTGCATTGTTTCTCTATCTTGATAGTCAGTGAAAACTGAAAATATACATCTTTTATGCCTTTAATCAACGCTTTTCAGTAAAATCCACACAGAAATGTGTTCTTAAATGGGTATGAAAGGTGTTGAGCCAAAAAACAAGAATTCGCTAACATTTCCCAAACCTGTGGAAAAATGCCAATGTCTTGACTTTTATTATTTTGATGAGTGCTTGATTTCTCCATGTTGCCTCACAATTTCTTTTGCATATATTCTATTGTTTTCTACTGTCAACTCATGTATATACCATCATCATCCGGTGCCTTGCCGACTGGCGTGGGCGATCATGGACCTCCACTTCCATCTGTCTTTCGATGCAGCAATGGTGTCTGTTGTTCTTGCTGCTCCCAGCCATGTTGTCATCCTGTCCAGTATTTTTTCCCTCTGTCTGCCTCTGCCTCTCTTTCCATCAAACTTTCCTGTTGTTACAATATTCTCTAATGCTTCTTTCCGCATTGTGTGTCCGAAGAACTTTGCCTGTCGTTTTCTTATATTCGTGATAAGTTGTTTTCTATAAATTGCTTCAACCAGGACTTCTTCATTTGTTTTTCTAGCTGTCCATGGGATACGTAGCATGCGTCTTGTATATATACATAATGAAAAGGTGGAAATCAAATAGAAAGTTTTTCTTCTGCAGAATGGTTGTGTGTTTGTCTTCAACGGCATGCTGAAGATTGCATCCTCGCAGGACGAGCTGGCCATTGTGCTGGGCCACGAGGTGGCCCATGCTGTACTGTCGCACGGGGTAAGGCTCACCTCTTTCCTTTGGAAAAATCCTTTGATTACTTAATTCATTTGTTCACCCTTCTCATCAAAGTTTGTGTATTTTCATTATTTCAAAAACGAGCCCCTTTGCATTGATGTCTATCCCAGATTTGATAGGAGCTTACAATACTCTGAGAACAGTTTAGGTTTAACTCTTTTTATCCTGGCCGTACCCCCATGGACTCTGTACCCATCCTGGGGCCGCCGCGCCATAGAAGTTGGAATTGAGTGTGTGTATTTCAAAGTGCTGTATTTCTTATGTTTACTCTTAGGTTTTAAGGAAATTTGGCAGTTATGTTAGAAATTGAATGTAGTTTTTGTCCGTTTTTGTAAATGTATGTGGTTAGGAATTACACGAATTGCACCATGTAGATTTTGAGGTGTATTCCACCCTCCAACTTGATCCTGATTGCCACGCCCACAAGGTCCCATTGGATTTTATAGATCTACCCCTACCCATCGATACAGCATGAATTCCAGAACTGACCCCTTCACCATGATCGGAATCGCTATTAAAGGAGTCTAAGTCCTGTTCGTTATCATCCACAACGGAATTTACGGCACTTGATTCAGAGCCACCTTCATCTAATTAGTATCATTCCCCCTCACCACCCAGTGCCTCTTCAAGATGTACTTTGTTGGTCGTGAACATGCGTTTTCAAGACATCATTCAAGCTTCTACACCCATCAAAAACAAAGAAACCACTGTTCATTGGAAAGTTTTAGTATTCAGACAGAGCTAGTATCGCCGTATTTGCGTATTTTGGTAATTACAAACAGAATAACTAGCTTCTCTGATGTTACCGTGTAGCTGTTCTGAGTATACTCGTAGCCCGGACTGGTCCTCGTTATGAGTATACTCGTAGCCCGGACTGGTCCTCGTTCTGAGTATACTCGTAGCCCGGACTGGTCCTCGTTCTGAGTATACTCGTAGCCCGGACTGGTCCTTGTTCTGAGTATACTCGTAGCCCGGATAAAAAGAGTTAATGTTCTGATGAGGATACTTTCTTTTGCAACACTTTCTGTACTCATTTCAGGCCCATATAAATTGTGATGTGATGTTCAATGTAGAAAATTAGCTCATAGCTGATGAAAACTTAATATTAATGACCAAACCGAACCATTTTGTATTTCTTGTTGACCTGTCAGTAAACTTTGTTCACCCTGAAATGATTTTTTTTTTCTTGTCATCGTAGGTTGAAGAGCTCAGTCTCGGGGCTTTTGTGGACTACTTTGTCATCTTGTGTCTGGCTGCCATCTGGTGCATTCTGCCTTCAGACGGCATCGCTCTGGTCACTCACTGGTTCTACAATAAAGTCATTCAGGTAGGTAGTTGGATCTCCTGATGGGTCAGAGTTGTGGGGAGGGTGGTAGGAAGGTGCCAGTGTTAGAGTTAGGTCCTTCGTCTTTTCTCTCCCACTGTTGTTTCTGTCTGGTTGTCTTGTTTTTCTTTACCCAAACTAAAACTGAGCGACTGATTTGTTGTGAGTTATGGGTGTCGCTCATGGACCCAGCAGGGAACCACTGCCACATTTTTGTCAAGTTTAAAATTAGCTACTCTAACATTGTACCTGAACTGGCTCTTGTTTTATTGAAATATCCTGTCCAGTGGGTTTCCTCCTGCTCTGGTGCTATTGCATGATGGACATGTCTTATCTGCCACTTATATCTCTCACGGCGCACTGGTGATGGAGTTTTAGTTGCAGCGGGGGGTTCCCCGCCGAGCGCCTAATCACGTCGGGGTTACAGGAGTCAGCTCCCTGTCACCGCTCTGTCTGGGCTGACTTAATTTTTGGTACTTTCAACATACAGTTTTATGTGTATCCTTGTATTTATGGTAATTATCATTTCATGTACCTAAAGCACGCTTTTCTGCTCTTTCAACTAAAAATAGAATGGACATTGTGACTTGTCTGGTTATTTGGTTAGACGTGCTGAAGTCGGGCATTGCTAAATTGTAACTTTTTTCGGACAACTGTGAATGAAAAAACCCATCTAAATTTTTAAAAACGGCACTACAAAAACTGTCGAACTTTTGGAACATGAACGACATAACATTGGTGCAGATACTCAGAAAAGATGGTATCTGCGCATATAATAGAAAGCTGTAATTTTGCAACTTTATCCATCTGGCACACAATTCGCTATAAAGTAATTCCTCGGGTTACAACTTTATGTGTCAAATATAATCATGAATATTTCCCTATTTTCTCCAAAGTTTATAAGAATTACCCTGAAATCTCTCTATGAAAAAGTACAAATTGATTTTAGTGCCAGAATACATCTACTACTTAATGCACGAACAGTATCTGTAACACTCCAGAAATTCCTTACTTTCCTTAAAACGCTAAGTCTAGGTTTTGTAAGTTGACTGAATAACAGAGATGACTTCTCGTAATTGGGTTATAAGAATAATTTCTAGCTTTCCAGGGACACTGAATCAGCACCAGACTTTTCCAGCTTTTATTTTTGTTTCTATGACCATTTGCTGTAACTGACAATGTGACTGATTTCTTTACATTCATAAGTGCACATATTTCTGACACAAAAACTAAGAATGAATGTGTGAACTCTCATTATTTTTATTCCATACAAGAAGTTTATCTCTACCCTTATATCTGCAAAGTTTTGTGTTAATTAAAAATGACATAATATATCTTTCTTAGTTGTAGGCAGGCTGCCACAGACACAGCATGATTCATGAACAAACGCAGAGTAATTTTCTCTTGTTTAATGTAAAACAAGAACTAGAGCTGAGTGTCTTGAGTCACAAAACGTGTGTTGTGTGTGCCCAAAGAAAGGTACCAAAAGTCGGATTTTGACCATTTGGAGTTAAGAGTTGGACCTTATGGTACCAAATGTCGGATTTTGACCATTTGGAGTTAAGAGTTGGACCTTATAGGAAGTTCAAAGCTGAATGGAAGGGTCTTTGAATTTTTTAGGTATCTCAAGTAGTTTTTGAGATACTGCACATTTTGCCAGGTAGGGTATAAAAACATGACGTAATATAATTTTGAGAAAATGAGCTTTTAAGTTTAACAAACGTGAGAACACATACAAACTTTTTAAAAAGAAATTTTTTAATGTATTTTTGCTTGGAAAATTCATTTCCAATTTGGCATTCAGGTGACATCAATATCATGAATGGAATTTCAATGGTAAAACATAGCAGGGAAGAGAAAAGACATTGAGCTTTTAGTACATCAGTGTAATGGTTTGCTGTGTGGGATGGGGAAGAAGTTATACCGTTTCAAACATAGACAAAAATGTAAACTTCTGAACCGACTACAGCAAAGTCACTTCAGGGCTCATTAACCCCGTGACCCCGAGCCGGGGAGCTCCGGCGGGCTGCTGTGTCACGCTAACTAAAAGTAACAGAATCGGGCGAAAAGTGACGCTGTGCACAATACTGTGGAATCGGGCACTGGTCGAAATAACAAAGTTGAAGAAATCAACTTTTTTCCACACGTGCAATTTTTATCAAATTTTATGTTTTGGGTTCAACATATTTTCTGCCCATTAAAAAAAATATTCCTGTGTGAAAATTTACTGAAAAACATGAATCAAAGATACAAAAAATGTAAACTTTTTGCAGTTTCCAAGGACACTACAGCTAACTTTGGTGGACATTTTCTGGCTAATTGTACATCAGACACCAAGCGACCCCACCTCCTTCAGTCATAAATATCTCGACTTCCATTCAAGATAGATGAGTATTTCATTCATTATGAATATGCAGGGCAAATGAACAGGCTTTAAGATGATAATGAAGGTTTTCCTTTTTTATCCCTCAAGTTATCCCCATACTTTATCATGAAAGCAGTTTTGTTTTGTTCTTATTGTGTTCCTGTTTTTACAAAAGTGACTGTATGTTGCTGTTCCTTGACAGAAAAACTGAGTTTTGTTCTGTTTTGTGAAGGGCGCAACAGTTACAAAACGTGTTCTTTAAATAAATCAAACTTTGATTGTACTCCTTTTTTGCTTTTACGTGCTCGCATTTGACCTTATGCAGTTGCGAGTGCCACTCAACTCTTACCAAACTACCTAGACTAACCAGTTTTACTTTATGAGACGAACATTTGAATGTTTGTTTGTTTCTTTCAGCTTCTCACGCATATGCCCCACAGTCGGAAGATTGAAAAGGAGGCAGACAAGGTTGGCCTCATGTTTGCTGCTAAGGTGAGATGGAATGTGTAGATCCACCAGTTATGTTGGAAATTGTTTTTTTGTAACAAATAACTAAAGTTGTATAAAAAGTCACTGGCATCACAACCAAATCATTTTGGCTTCTTCCAGGCTGTTGTTAGGGGCGCGTACCGTTCCCGAACACAGCACTGTAAGGGACACGTACACTTCCCCAGCACTGTAAGGGACACGTACACTTCCCCAGCACTGTGTAAGGGACACGTACACATCCCCAGCACTGTAAGGGACACGTACACTTCCCCAGCACTGTAAGGGACACGTACACTTCCCCAGCACTGTAAGGGACACGTACACTTCCCCAGCACTGTAAGGGACACGTACACTTCCCCAGCACTGTAAGGGACACGTACACTTCCCCAGCACTGTAAGGGACACGTACACTTCCCCAGCACTGTGTAAGGGACACGTTCACATCCCCAGCACTGTAAGGGACACGTACATTTCCCTAGCACTGGACTGTGACACGCGTACGGTACTCTTCAACAACACTGCACTGTAAGGGACACGTACACTTCCCCAGCACTGGACTGTGACACGCGTGCGGCACTCTTCAACAGCACTGCACTGTTAGTTTTCGGGACGCATGCATACGCTTCCACATCTCTTCAGAATTATTGAGCGGTATTTGTGACATGGACGTCACAATACAGGGGAACTCGGTTTTAACAAGCTCGGATTCAACAAGAACTCAGATTCAACGAGAGGAGATGAATTCCCCTTTTTTTGTGTTTTTTTCTTTAAAATCAGTAAAAAATAACCCATCTTCAACAAGCACTTAAATCAGCAAGCTGGGATTCAACGAGGTCGCTGCCAGGGTGAACAGCCCCCACTGACGTGGCTTCGCTCATTTCCCCCCGCAAAGAACTTTATCTCTCCCTGGAAACCATCCATTGCACCTGCATCGTGAACCATTATCATTTGCTTAGCCGATTGCCTGTGACCAACCTGCAGCCTTCTTTCATACCAACACATGCATTGTTGGCACGCGCTCGTGTCTACTCTAGGCCTAGGCTAGCGTGTTTCGGGGTCGGATAGGCGGCCTCCACACGTGTGACTGTGTGTGCGTGTGTCGGAAGGGGGGGGGGGAGGGGGGCACCAGCGGTCGGGTGTGGAACGTCGCAGATACAAATGTCTCACAGTCTTTTTCCCCCCCAGCAACTGTTACAATGATAAGCTAGTCTTGACGTAGATCTACGTGACGAATTGTGCGCTGGTCTGGAATGAAAAGTTGCCGTATGCTAGGCTCTAGACGGCAACACAAGTTTTTGACAAGCAATCGAGATGACACAGGCGTACATTTGAACTAATACTAATTGGTCTTTTTTTTTCACAGGCGTTTCAGGCACCACTTGTTACTTCTCTTTATACATTACTTGCTCAGCGCCTGTAACTGTAACTGTAACTGTAACTGTAACTGTAATTATCTACACAAAACCTCGTGTTTGCTATAACGAACACTCGGATTCAACGAGATTGTAGTTCCGGCCCGACGACCTCGTTGAATCCAAGTTCCACTGCAGTACAGATTTTCTACTATGATGATGTTTCAATTGCCTAAATCTATCCAGCGAGAGAGAGAGAGAGAGAGAGAGAGAGAGAAGGGGGTGGAGGGAGAGAGAAACAGAGAGAGAGAAAAGGGGAGTAGAAAGAGGGAGGGAGAGAAAGATTTTTGTGTTTTAGTGATTTTTTATGAAAATATGGCACACAATTTCCACTCTTACTGAATACCACTGTTGTGCTCTGTTCATCATCCCAGGCCTGCTACGACGTCCGAGCTGGGAGTGTACTCTGGCAGAAAATGGCACTAAACGAAAAGCTCACTACAGAGGCGACAGAGCAGTTGCCAGAGTGGATGTCCACCCACCCAGACAGCAGTAAGCGAGCAGAACACCTGGACTTTCTTCTGCCCCTGGTTAGTGTTCTCCTTTGTCAAGAAGTGGTTGGTTGGCGGGTGCTCTGCTGTGGTTTGCTTCTTCTTTCCTGTCAAACATCTATCGTCCTTATCTCCCCTTCTTCTTTTTTATGTTTGTTACTCTCTTGTAACACCTCTAATCTTCTGGCGCTCATATGACCTTATGCAGTTGCGAGCGCCGTAAAACGTCTACTACTAAACTAAAAAACTAAAATGAAGTTGTATAAATGGAAAGATGGGAACTCCACAATGTTTGTCTCTAACAGGGCAAAGTTGGGAGATCTATCATTCGAAAATTACTTTAAACAAGCTGACTAGCGAAACAGATTGTTTTTCCTCCTATATAGAGCATGATCAACCAAAGGAACACAGTGCCTTAAATATTTTGAAAAATAATCTAATGATTAAAATTGTGACCAAAAGAGAGTGTAACATATTGTAACATGTGCAACCAAGAGTTTGAACAAATAGAGTGTTCCTTTTTTTTCCAACATGATATAGGTGAAAGGTTAATAAAATTACAACAGCAGGACAAGACCTTTCAAACACTGCTGCTGCTAATGACATACCTTACCTTCATATGTGTGTCAGCTTGACTTCACTTTATTTTGAATGACAGTTTCCCTCATGCTCCTTACCTTTGAGTAGAATGTTGGAAAAAAAGTGTTTTCTTAGAAAACAGACCCAGTGTCAGACAGTTCTGTTCTGGTAGCCTGCTCGTATCAAATGTATTTTGTGAACATTTTCACCAAGAAAAGTAGATTTTTGCATGAAAAACAAGAATGACATTGTTTGTTTTTATGCAATTGAATATTTTCAGTTTCATTATTTTTGCTAGACATTGGCTGGATTTTATCTAGAGACAAGATTAGGCCTGTTATCCTCACAAATGAGTTATGCTGATTATTTTTCCCCATTTCTATGTGTACTTTTTCATCATCATCATCATCATCATCATGGCCTTTCTCACCCTGGGTCAGGATATAGGCCACGAACAAACACTCTCCACCTTTCCCTATCCTGGGCTAGTGGCTTGATGTCACTCCACGTCTTCCCACTTGTCTATACATCCATTTCCGTGACTCTTCTCCAGGTTCCATGAGGTCTTCCCCTTGATCTTTTACCCTGTGGGTTCCAATCTAACACTTTTCTTGTTATGCAGCTGCTTGACTTCCTGAGAGTGTGTCCAATCCATCGCCAACGTCTTCTTCCCACCTCATCTCTGACTGGGCTCTGTCTCGTTCTTCTTAATACTTCCTCATTGTTAATCCTGTCTGTCCATCTGATCCTCAGTAGCTTCCTAAGACACTTGTTTAAGAAAACCTGGATCCTCTTTATGCACGTCTGAGATGCATTTCACGTCTCACATCCATACAACAAGACTGACTTCACATTTGAGTTGAAAGTTCTAAGGTTTGTTCGTAATGAGATATCCCTGATCCTCCAAATCCTGTTCAAAAAAATAAATGCAGTCTGTGCCTTTCCAATGCGGGACTTTATTTCAGCGCCTGTTCCTCCCTCTCTGTCAATTATACTCCCAAGATAACAAAAGGATTCGACGTCTTCCAGCGCATTTCCCTCTACTGTGACCTGCTCCTTTCGTAGTGCATCTATCCTTGGGACATTTGACTTTCTCGGGCGGATCCTCAATCCAACAGACTCTGATAGGCTGTTTAAAATTGTTGTCTTTGCTTGCATCTGTTCCTGAGTGTGTGACAGGTACTTTTTCGTGTTGTTTATATTTTGTTTTATGAAAGTATAGTCATACTTCTCTTGTTTATTTGGTTTCCAGGCTGAGACGTGGAGGGACTCGATGAAGTGTCCTCGCCTGCCCAAACACGATCCCCGACAGACTGTTATTGCTGTCTCTCAAGAAGTTGATAACATTCTTGCTGCAAAAAAGGCAGGACAGAATTTGAAGCAAGTTGAGAAGGCTTCATGAAAACATATAGTTCTTTTGCTGTCACTTGAGAAATTCAGTTACTAACTGCAAACTCACTCAAGAAAGCAGGTTCAAACAGTGTTAGCGTTACTTATGTTTTGCTGTTACTGCAAAGAATTGTTGGTTGTTACCATGTTTGTTTTGTTACTAAAGTCCTTATTGGTCATGATACTATTTATAGAGAAATGATAATCTGCTGACTAATCCATTGATGTTTTGTTGTTGATCGTCAAAATGAAGTTGTAGCCTGGTGATGTACATCGTCAAAATGAAGTTGTAGCCTGGTGATGTAGATCGTCAAAATGAAGTTGTAGCCTGGTGATGTACATCGTCAAAATGAAGTTGTAGCCTGGTGATGTAGATAGTCAAAATGAAGTTGTAGCCTGGTGATGTAGATCGTCAAAATGAAGTTGTAGCCTGGTGATGTACATCGATGATTTGGTGTGCAGGTAATTTTTCCATTTGCCACTGCAATTATTGTGAGTAAGAGATCTCTCTCACTGTCTTGGCAGCTTGAAGTCGTGAAAGTAAATCACATCTTTATAGTCGATACAGTGAGGAATGAGTGGATTTTTTAGAACATTTTGAAACTTACCAATGGCTTGATGAAATTTGAGTCTGCTTTTATTGCGATACTTGTGAAGTTATTGTTTTTGTAAATTGACAAGTACAAGCAATGAATACAGCAGAGTCTTGTTTGATTTGAGACTGGATCATGTTGATCTTTGAAGAAAGATAGGATATGTAGGAGTAGGAGAACCAGAGATTCTAGAGATCAGAGACAACTTGTGTTAGGATATGTAGGAGTAGGAGAACCAGAGATTCTAGAGATCAGAGACAACTTGTGTTAGGATATGTAGGAGTAGGAGAACCATAGATTCTAGAGATCAGAGACAACTTGTGTTAGGATATGTAGGAGTAGGAGAACCAGAGATTCTAGAGATCAGAGACAACTTGTGTTAGGATATGTAGGAGTAGGAGAACCAGAGATTCTAGAGATCAGAGACAACTTGTGTTAGGATATGTAGGAGTAGGAGAACCAAAGACATCTGATTCTAGAGATCAGAGACAACTTGTGTTGATGAAACCTTTTAGTCTCTTACATTCATGAAGTCTTTCCTGATGTGACTGTCATATCATCCTCCTACACCTAAAGATGGCCTTCTTGTATCGTGAGTTTGGAACATTCTTTTTCCCTTGGAATCTGTGTGCAGTGAGTTCTTGATGCATTCTATTTCCTAAGGTAACCTGTGCCAAAACAATCTCTCCTACACATTTCATATGCTTTTGTTACGAAGTAGAAAGTGGATATTCTGGAGCTTTCAGTTTGTCCACTTATTTTATTATCCAAATTTTTTTAATGTTAAAATGTTCGTGATCAGTCATGACTCGAAATTTGCAAAATTTGACGCTACCGTATTTAACGCCCGATTTCTAAGTTAAATTTCATGTATATTTTTGGTATGCATGTGTGTTTCTCCTATCAGCCCATACTAGGCGAGGCCTAGATCTAGATTTACATCTTGTCTTTTACCGCTTTTACTTATATGTGTCTCGATTGCCACCGATACAACCGTCCCCCGCCATTTGGGGAAAAGGAAATGAGAACACTTGGAAGCAGAAGGAAATGATTGGTGAGGTGTTGCATGCACAAAGCAAAATGTTTTCCTGGTTCCCCCTAGACTGGGTGTCTCCGTGGACACAATGTAGGTTATTATTACAAGTAAAAGCACTTGATTCTCCATCAAGACATCCAATAGGGAAAGAAAAATAATGCAGGAAAGAAACCATACCATAAGCTGAGAAAAATATTCTGAACAGAGGAAAATACATTGTGAAAAAAAAAGGTATTTTCTAAATGGAAGTGTCTCCCGAGCCCAGGATCCTGGTCCACGGAGACACCCAGTCTAGGGGGAACCATGAAAACATTGAATGTGACCCGAGCCCAGGATCCTGGTCCACGGAGACACCCAGTCTAGGGGGAACCATGAAAACATTGAATGTGACCCGAGCCCAGGATCCTGGTCCACGGAGACACCCAGTCTAGGGGGAACCATGAAAACATTGAATGTGACCCGAGCCCAGGATCCTGGTCCACGGAGACCCCCAGTCTAGGGGGAACCATGAAAACATTGAATGTGACCCGAGCCCAGGATCCTGGTCCACGGAGACCCCCAGTCTAGGGGGAACCATGAAAACATTGAATGTGACCCGAGCCCAGGATCCTGGTCCACGGAGACCCCCAGTCTAGGGGGAACCATGAAAACATTGAATGTGACCCGAGCCCAGGATCCTGGTCCACGGAGACCCCCAGTCTAGGGGGAGCCATGAAAACATTGAATGTGACCCGAGCCCAGGATCCTGGTCCACGGAGACCCCCAGTCTAGGGGGAGCCATGAAAACATTGAATGTGACCCGAGCCCAGGATCCTGGTCCACGGAGACCCCCAGTCTAGGGGGAGCCATGAAAACATTGAATGTGACCCGAGCCCAGGATCCTGGTCCACGGAGACCCCCAGTCTAGGGGGAACCATGAAAACATTGAATGTGACCCGAGCCCAGGATCCTGGTCCACGGAGACCCCCAGTCTAGGGGGAACCATGAAAACATTGAATGTGACCCGAGCCCAGGATCCTGGTCCACGGAGACCCCCAGTCTAGGGGGAACCATGAAAACATTTTGCTTTGTGCATGCGTCACTTCCACTGAGCAGAAAAAAATGACAAAAAATCAACTACATTTGCCGAACAAATTGCTCCCCACTATATTCCACCTGCACTATGTGGAGCAAGGTGTACACGTTGCTGTGTGTGTGTGGGTGTGTGTGTGTGGGGGGGGGGGGGGCAGGGGGGGGGGCAGGGGGGGGAGTTAGGACAGGAGAGTTCTAATTTTGCCCTTTGTTTTGTACTCATGCTCCCATTTTCTTTTTGTTCGTCTGTTTGATACATGTGTGCTGACTTTGATTCATTGAGGATTGTTCTTTATCCACTGTTCTTGTGAGGGGGCACCGGGATTGTTTTTAGTTTTTGTATAATTTATTTAGGATTTTTGTAAAGAAAAGGTGACAGCTTTTTACCTGGCTGGTTTTACACAAAGTTTGATGGAACAGATTGGGGAAAAACCGTTATATAAAAATATAGAACCAATGGAACTATATGGTCTCCAAGCTTGAAGGGAACTCCCAACAGAGGACTTCAATTTGACTGTGATAATATATTACTATGACTAACATGTAGCTTCTGTTGTGCCAAAGGCTCTGTGGTTACTGGGAATTCAAAATGTTCTTCATATACTTATACAGCATCCGTGTGTGCTTTGAGTCTGAGATTAAAGATTGCTCCTTCTCTTGTGCTCCTTATTTCATTTGCTTCAGTTTGTTCAAAACTTCATACAATAGATCTATTACTGTAATATTTCCACTTTGTCTTTTCATAGCCTACAAACTATAGGAGAGGATAAGAGAATGCGGTCTGTATGCTTCAACTGTGCGATCTTATTTTCTTTTTAATGCATCTACCTTTTTTAATATCGTCTAATGATTGATCCACAGTAAAGTTTTTGCATGTGTGCTTTTCGGCTATCGTTGGACCTCTTATTTCCCACTGTATTGCATTTGAAAAATTACTTGGTGGTGAGAAGCGAGTGGGGATAGGCAGTATACAGTGCACAGTATTATGACCATTAGTAGTTTCCAAGAAGGTTGAGTGTTGGTAAGATGTCACATGTTGGGTATTTTAAAAAATTTTATATGAAACTTAAAAGGCTTAATATATATTGACGGTAACATTTGATATCATGTAAGTCTGAAATTTTTACTATTCAGGAAAAACTATGTGCAGGTGTCAAGTTTGAAGTAGTGGTGGGCTTATCGAAATATTTTTACACATATCGAAGCGGTGAGAAAAATATCGATATTTCGATATTTTGAAATGCCCATCACTCAGCACCGCTTTTCCAGGAATTAGCAGACTGATTTTATCTTTTCCCCACACAATAAAACACAAACAAATTTATTTTTTTTATCAATTTTAAAAAATCGTTTTAAAAATTATAAAAATAGAACACAGTCGTGTTTAGCGTGTCGAAATATCGATAATTATCTATATAATATCGATGTATTATGTATTTGATGGCAAATTTCAATTTATCGACAACAATTATGTAATATCCAAAAAAAATTGATATCGTATCGAATTTGATATTGCTGATATCGCCCTTCACTAGTGTCAAGCTTGTCAGAAAACGAACATGAACGTTTTGAGCCAACGCCATATTTTGTCATCTTTGCTCTTAAAAAAACTGCGCCATATTATGACATGATGCAAGAGGGTTTTCTAGCAATCTTTTCAAGCAAAAATAAAACCTGACCTAATTTCGGACTTTACACAGTTTGCGACAGTTACCCTCAATATAACACAACTGTCCGTATGAAGTGGAACTCACGATACTTTTAATATTTTATTGCTTGTGTGGGGAAAGGTGAAGGACGCTTTCCTGGAACCTGACGGGTTGTGTGGTGTTGATCGTTTTTTTAGTAAGAGTTTTTCAGCACTTCCAACACAATATGATTATAAAAGTTTCAAAGATGAAAGGTGTTACAGGAGAGTAACAAAGATGAAAAGTAAAGAGATTAGGACAACAGATGTTTGATAAGATCAAGAAAGGAGCAGCAATCCACCTGCCAACTACCCGCCTGTGTGATGGAAAGGGAAGACCCCTTAGGAAGTGCAAGAAATTTAAGTCTGAGGTATCTTTTTTATCTCGCCATGATCTTTCATCTCTACCAAATAAATTATTGAAATGTCCCGCCCAGCATCCTGTGGTCTCAACCATTCCAACTCATACCTGCACTGATTGTTGACCTTTTTGAGAGTTGAAATGGTGAAATATGTTATATCTCAACATCAAGTTTTTAAATTAAGAATATTTTATGAAATATAAATTAATATAAAGGAGAAGGCTGCAGGGTTGAGAAGTTGGAAGCTGTATGAGACATGGTTTTCTCATAGCGTTATACATCTAACAATATTCAACTTCTTCAGCAATTATTGCTCGCTCATGCAATTGTTTTTTCATTACTTGTTGCACCATTGTGTCTTTTGTGTCTTTTGAGAGCTGCACTTTATAATGTGTCTTGATCGTTATCCACATCGAAATCAAGACTCAAATTGAAAAGCTGTTTGTTTTCAAGATATCTTTTGTATACACTGAAAACCATGAATAAACGAAGTGACATCAATCAAACGACTTGACCCCTAGTTTTCCTTGGTTTTTCAAACTGACTCGTAAAGGGTTACATTGTAAAAAGCCTACTGTTTGTAGATGTGTAAGCCTTAGAACTTATTCTGTAAAGAAAGAATGTCTTAACATGAAAGTCAAAACTTTTTTTATTTATGTGGTTGGTGTGTCAGCTCAATGCTTGGTCAATGCTGCTGTGTAAAACCATGAACAAAATGTTCACTTTCTTCACTCTCATTCTTTTGGGAATCAAACAATTGGCTTGTACAAGTCGTATGCCCTTCACACCTCAATACACGATAGGGTCAATTTAAAAATTCAAGAGGCTGGATTTGATTTTGGGAACCAAGTTTGATCTCTGACAAAAGAATGTGTCACTTTTTAGAATTTCAAGAAAAGAAAGCATCATTCGGACATAGGATTCATCTCTTAGATGTCCGCTGGGAGCGTATTTCCATCTGATGTGACAACCTGCCCATCTTCATCAAATATAGTACATTGTACGATGAGTTAGTAAATGTATAGCGGACTGCCCAAGATACAAGTTCCTAGAAATATTGTGGCGCTGCCAGCACTCCACTTTACTCTGTTGGAATACTCTCTACATCTGACACCAAAGAACACTAGTTTTGGTTGTGTTGGTCTATCTGGAATCATGAAAAGTAAGAGAATTGTAAGCCTTGAACATTCATTACTATTCCACCACATTTTGGAGAGGTTGAAAGGTGCATCTTACATAGAGCTTGGGGAGGTGGTAAAAATGAAACATTCTCAAAATTTGGACTTAAAGAGGATAGTTTGCGACAGTGAAGAAATGTCTTGACACGGTGGAATCAGGCGCTCATCAATTTTGGGCATGTGGAGTTATTGGTATCACTTTAAAGCTTGTTCATCTGCCTTGCTTTTGATGAAAGAATTACCCATTTATCTTGATATTTGCGATTGAATGAGGAGGGGGTTGTCTGGTTTCAGAAGTAAAATTAGTGAGAAAATGGCCACAAAAACTTGGTTATTTACAAAGCCTCCGAGTCCGTACAAATGACAATATACATTTCTTATGCCTTTAATAATTAATTAACATTTTTCAATACATTCACACTAAAATGGGTTCTTAAATGGCCATAGAAGTTGTTGAGCTAAAAACACAATTTCGATAAAAATTGCCAAATCAGCGGAAAAGTAAGTTTCTTTACTTTCATTATTTTGAGGAGCACCAGATTTGCCCACCCTGCCTCAGAAATACTTTAGTTTTCCACTCGCTTCCCACTGGCATCTGTGGTGAAAGGGTTGGGCTGCTCAGTGTTGCACACAAGATTTGAGTTCCATTACCATTTGTGGGAAGTTACTTCATCCAGTGTATCTATCTTTTTCCCTGGGACGCTGTATTCCACTCAGCCTGGGTCAGCCCTAACAATAACAGACAGGGTCTAAGCAGTCCGCCTCCTTCAATTTTTCAATTCAGAGGAGTAAAGAGATGAAATATCATCACCGCACTGTAGAAACTGCAACAATGGCTTTTCTTAAGACAGGTAAGACATTTTGTCCCCACCGGATGTCAATCTAGTTCGACTTTCTCTTCACACAATACAACATCTACAAAAGCAGCCAAACCATAATTAAATAATAATCACTCAAGGCTGTAGGTCAGCATCACTCGCACAAAATGAGCAAACTAAATAGTAAATGTATCGTTTTTAATGATTCATTTATTTTAATCAAAAGCAGAACAGGTTCATATATACCATCACACAGTCACACCCACACAGCCAATAACAGCAGCAGCTATGGCAGGTTGCCATAAAAAATAAGCAGACAAGAATGCATGACTATCACAAAATAGATAAAAGAGTGTTTTTGTCATCGGAAACTCAGTGCTTCACAGGAACAAACTGATGTTTCAATTCCGTGATGCTCACCGACTCCCCAGCTTTCTCATCATAATCAAACCACTCCTGAAATACAAATAAAAAAAACAAGTGCAAACATCACACATCTCTGTGGGGTCTAGACAATTCAGTAACCAAATTCTCAATTTATACAAGTGAAAGTTTCAGTCATTAAAAAACACTAAAATGAAAACTTTTTGCCTCTATTGCAACATTTCTGCATATTTATTTATTCATGAAATAATCTCTTACCAACAATATCTTTATGAGCTTCTCTTCATTTTAAATAAAGTTATTGTCACCTACAGTGAAACTCAAAACACAGTCCAAGGGCCCCACCTTTAAGTGTGTTCAAGCCAACCGTTCATTGAAAGAAAGGTGTGACAAGTGTGAGAATTTTTGAAATTGGTAACAATAAGGAAATCTTTTACGAACATCATCCACTTTTTCAGGTGTCACGTCTGGAGCAGACATTGACAAACATGGTACTATTGCGAGTATTGGTACCCCATTCCTTCCTGTTGTCTGTCTTCTTGATCAGCTCTATGTTTCTCTTAGCGTTATTCGTTGTAAAGTCGTTCTGGTCATCTGTGTAGGTTGTTCTTTGTCTAGCTTTGCTCTTCTTTCCCTGTATCTGTCCACGCAGCAGCAGTTCCTCTTGTCTATTTCATCTATTTATGTGGCCAAAGAATTTCAAAAGTCTTTTTCTGATGGTTTTGATTATGGATCTTTCACATCCTGCCATTTGGAGAACTTCCCTGTTTTCCTTTTCTCCCTGTTTTCCTTTTCCCTGTTTTCCTTTTCTCCCTGTTTTCCTTTTCTCCCTGTTTTCTTTTTCTCCCTGTTTTCTTTTTCTCCCTGTTTTCCTTTTCTCCCTGTTTTCCTTTTCTCCCTGTGCAGGAGATTCTTTGTATTCTCCCTAAATACCACATTTCAGCAGCCTCCAGTTTTCTCTCTGTGTCTTTGTTTAGAGTTCACCTCTTGCATCCATACAAAAGTTCACCTCTCGCATCCATACAAAAGTTCACCTCTCGCATCCATACAAAAGTTCACCTCTCGCATCCATACAAAAGTTCACCTCTCGCATCCATACAAAAGGATGTTTATGAACATGCCACGGTGTAAAAGTAAAAGATCCAATGGTGCTCCAAAGTGTTTACGTAACAGTTATTTACGTCTGCTTCCCTCTACACAAACTCTACACAATAGGGTCAGGCTTAGATCCAAACAGGAGCCATTTTCTTCTCTCTGCTGCTGCACCAAACCTGTCCTGAATTATAAAAACTGCTGTGTTGCAATAGCATACATGTACATGTAGTTTGGTTTCAAATGAAAAGTATTTTCCTTTTTTTATGTCGTTCCAAGTGTGCTTTGGCTAATGTTGAAAATGAAAGTGGGATGGTGTAACAGTATATATATAAATATGTAGTTTGATTTCAAATGCGAGGCATTCTCTTTTCCTGAATGCTGTACCTAGCATGCTATGGCTAACACTAAAAATGTAAGTGGATGCAAAATACGCTGGGTTGTAGTGTAAGGTTTAGGTCAGTTATGTTTAGAATTTGAACTCAACTCATTCCATAGATTTACATCTAGCCTCACTGCTCAGTGGCCAGGAATGCTTCTATCCACACCCCCCTCCACAGGCGTGCACACAATCACACCAGAGCTGACCATCTGTCCAATCTCCATCGACCTCGGCACATGCTAAGACAACATGCTAAGACACACTTCTTGAGAGCACATGCTAAGACACACTTCTTGAGAGCGTCAACAACTCATAGTCATGTGTTGGTGTGGAAAACGGCCTGTGATTGGTTCACATATGATGGTGTCTGTGTGCGTGTGTGTGTGTCTTTGTGTGTGTGTGTGTGTGTGTGTGTGTGTGTGTGTTTGTGTGTGTTTGTGTGTGTGTGTGTGTGTGTGTGTGTTTGTAGGTGTAAGTGTGTGTGTGTGTATGTGTTTGTGTGTGTGGGGGGGGGGAGGGGGGGGGACCTACCGCTTCGTTCAGATCAATGTCAGAAAATAAAGTCTGTGATTCCAGGCCCACGGCCTCCCAGCCAACCTGAAGAGAAATTGATACAAATAAAAAATTATTGAAAACTTTCATGCCCAATTTTTTCTCCAACATGAAAGATAAAAATTAGGAAAGAAGAAAACCAGAAGCAGATTGATCTCAGTAAAGTGATTGAATAAGCTTGTAGAGTGCACGGAATTATTGCAGTGTACTTAAACATGAAAAGGACAGGAAGTTTTAAGAAAAAAATTCTTTGATATAACAAAACAGATTTGAAGGCATGCAATTAATTACTCCTTTTTTTCTGAAAAAAATGTTCCATTTGGAAAAAAAAAGTACCAAACTCAGCTTGGACTTAAAAACCTCAAACTTCTGCTTGCTGGGCAAATGAGACTGATGCAAGGAACGGAAACAGGAGTAAGAAGATGAAGAAGACATTGAGAGACTTTGTTCTTGCATCATGAGCTCAAAGTTTCAACAACAGCATCTATTGTCTCAGGACAATAGGTACAAGCATGTGTCGCCCAAACACTAACATTGCTGTCTCTGCAGTACACTACTACCTTTTTCTTCTTCTCAAGAAAGTAATGCAGGTCTTTCAGGACCGTATGTACAAAGGTTTGAAAAATGTCAGCATTCTTGACACACAACAACTTACACATACACACAAAGTGAAATTGAGCCATAGCAGTATAAAAATAATCAATTACTAACCCGAGGTGAAAAGTCTATGGGTTGCACACCTCTGCAGTCAAAAGCAACAATTGTTTTGAACTTTCCGGAGTCTTCTTCCGTATAAGGACTCAAGGATTCTGTCACAATATCTGACCAAAAAAATAGAAACTTGTTTATTCAGGAAATATATATGAAACATCTCATACTTTTTCTTTAACTGAAGCATTTTCTGGGGAAACATGCTCTACAAAACACTCATTCAATGAATTATTTTCAGCACTTTGAGAATAGTAGAGTGAACTCTAAATAATTCTACACTGCATTTAAATTAATGCTTTACACAGACCTTCCTTTATCCAATCTATCCTTTGGACCAAACGAAAGGGAAAAAAACAAACAAGAAAACAAAACTATTTTTCCGTTTTACCTCCCCACAGTTACAACATATTCATTGCCAAACAATGGGACAAACACAATTGATGAAAACATCATTTAGATTAAGAGCATTAGATTGTTCTTACCTATTGAGTTTTCTCTTTTGCAGAGTTTGCATTTCAAGACTAGGCTAGCCTGGCCACGCCCACCAGTGAGGGGCGATGTTTCCTGTACAGTAAGGAAGTCAAAAGCATCATTTATGGGTACATGTACTGCACTTATGTATTTCTAACATAATTCTTGGTTATCACTCAATGAAATTCAGCTTTCAACTTATAAGACAGAACGTGATCTAAGTGCTGTTTGTGGACTCTGATTAGACTCAGCAATGAGAGGACTGGATAACGAAATGAGAGAAAAGTCGTCATCAAGAAATCTCCAAGGAAAAAAAAATCCATCTGCACTTGAACCACGCTCTGTTGTGTGGAGGGTAGGCTTGTGGACGATAATGACGTAACAACATCATACAGAGAAGACAGAGGCCCTACCAGCCCTGTAAATAATCGTCATTACTGGCAGAACACTTTTGTCAATCATGAGTACAACTATAACACTCACATTCCATTTCAAATATACACGTACAATGAACTCTCCACTATCACCATGCTTCAAGATATCATTTAGAGAATACGTCTACCTCATCCTTACAACTAGTAGCCCCATATGAAAAGCAAAACTGGAAGTGGCAGTTGTGAGGGAGAAAAAAAAGGACAAAGTCCCATAACCTCAGGCTTCTTACAGGATGAGCAACATTGTTAGGTCTAAAGCTCTTCATTTAACAACTTTTAAAACTATTATGAGTATTGTTAAGTGAGAGAATGAAAAAAGTTCTTAAGGCACTTGCAACACAAAGAGGTAGCATAAGAGCAGGGATGAAAAAAGGGAATGTTTTCCCATCTTGTTGAGTTGTTGGTTTTTGTCGATACTATATAGTTGTAGAATTTGAAGTTTACTGTACCAACAGTTGTATAAATCTAAAGAAATTGTAAGTGTAATGTAAGAAACTTTCTGTAGCAATAATCAGAAACGTATATATATGTATGTATATATATATATATATATAGATAGAGAGAGAGAGAGAGAGAGAGAGAGAGAGAGAGAGAGAGAGAGAGAGAGAGAGAGAGAGAGAGAGAGGGAGAGAGAGAGAGAGTCTAAATAGCATGTGTGAAAATGTCTGAGATCAATGGGAAGCTTGACAAAAAGAAAAGGACAGAGGGTAAGTTACAGTTACAGTGAGTGTGTGCAAAGTTTTCAACCACATCAAAGCAATAAATCGGTTTACATGGACAATGTAAAAAAAACCCAAAACCCCAGCAACATGAGCCAGCGAGCATACTTACCCTTAAGGTACAGTAGACATAGTCACTTGTCTCTTCCCCACAGCTAGAGCATGAGAGCTGTGGATGATACACGTACAGTATGATACCATCTGACGAAAGAAACACACTGTTGCCGCAGTGGTGGACAGTTGCGGGTGGCTGGCAGGTGCTCAGGTGTGGGACAATTCAGGTTGTAAAGTATCATAAAGAAAATAAAGGTACTTTATAAAAAGCCTTTTCTATGAATGCATATGATATGAGAGGTTCAGAGTCAGTGTACTGAGTCAGTTATGAAGAACACAGTCACAAAGAAAACAGTATGCAGAATTATTGGGCAGCAGATCAGACTTTTGGCCAGGAGTTAGAAAGTCCATTTTATTAACATTGTGTAATTACAAGTACAAGCTGCTGAACACCAAGCCCACTTGTCATGATCAGAGTTACAAAGAGTACAAAATACTGAAAACCATAGTTTAGTTTTAGTAAGTGTTTTCATCAGTATTTAATATACTCTGGTCATCAGCAAATAGAAGCTTGTACAGTTCAGTGATGTTGTCATTTGCTGCTTCGTGATCTTATCCATGTACCTGGTAAGTGATGAAGAGAAGCGGAGAGAGAACACACCCTTGTCTCACCCCAGACCTGATGGGGAACCAGTCCGCTAGTTCTTCTGCTGACCTTACGGCACACAGGCTGTTTTTATAAAGTACCATGACGTTCTCCAGCAATTGTCCTCTTACACCATATTCCTCTAACACTTCCCAAAGTTGACATCTATCTACCCGGTTGAACGTCTTCTCCTGATCCACGAAGACGATATTGAGGCCTTTGTCATGTGCAATGGTAGTCTCACACAACAACGAATAATACAATATGACCTTTAAAACTAACTTTCCCTCATGCAATTGTTTCTGTCTGATTGCTTTCCTTTTTTATGGCATTAAGTGACCGTTATTAGGTAGATGGGCTTCTCTTTACTCAAACTCAAACACACAACAAATCAGTCCAAAGTTAGGTTATAATGTAAATGATAAATTTAAAAAGTAGATGAGAAAAAGTAATTTTAAAAAAGGAAGATTTATCTTCATCCTGACATCTCCAGCCAGGCCATTTCTGGACTTATCTAATATATATAAATTGACAACTTGGAAACACATGTGTCATTTTTCCCATAAAACTACGACAGCTACAGAGTTGAAAGTCGGCAAGTACCTGCAAAAAGATAGATAGGTCCCCATGACGGAGCCCAATTTTTGACTTTTTCATTTCCTGAATTTAGAAAAATATATTTGACAAAAAGTTCCCGTCCTTTTTTGGCCTTTGTGATTATTCCACTGAGAAACGAAACATATCTGCGTAGCTCTCCTTCACAACGGAAGTTCATTACCGCTCTTTAACGTTCGCCTAAGAAACACGATTCAAGAGACAGGGTGAGTAATTTTCGAGACTCACCTACGTTGAGATGTGATCCTGTGTATGCATCCAAAGAGTTGTTTTTAATATATGGCCCAAAGAGAAAAACTTTTTTATTACTGGGTCAAGATTTTTGGAAAAAATACTTTGGTTTGGTCGCTGGCCTGTCGAGTGCCATGCACAGTTTCGTGGGCAAAGGTCAATTTGTCAATGAGCTAGGATTTCTTTAACATTGTCAAAAGGAAGTGAACAAGCTATAGACACTGCCTCTGTCATCTTGAAGACGTCGGTGTGTTCCTTTTACAGTGTTGTAGCAGCCCTTTCGGGGATTAATATTTTCTTGGTGCTTTTTTTATGTGATGGTGTAAGGCGAAACCCGTATTTTGTGATTGTGAAGGGTTAGACAGCAATACACTAAAGCAATGTAGATCAAGAGAGGAGTACATCAAGGTAGACTTAATCTAAAGCAATATAGATCTAGAAGCCAGGTGTGACGGTGAAAGGCTAGACAGCAAGGTACATGTAGATGTAAAATGCCTCTGCGGCGTAGACCAGTGACGTCAAAGTGTCGACCCCGAGCAAAGCTGGGTACTCAGCTAGAATCTAGTACATTATAATTCTTCTTTTTCCTCTGGCATTGCAGAAGCATCAAGAATTAGTTAGCACTATCAATGCTCCACTGACCCGTGATTTGTTGCAGTTAGTTGCCGTAATGTTAGTGAGGAAGTCACTTTTGCAACAAATTTTGGCCGACAATCTTCCTTTGATTTGGGTCACCAAGGTCCGTTTCAGGTTCAAAATGATGTCATCTTTCTCAAGCTGATGTGCACTTTTTTCCCCAAAGACCCCTTGTTCAACCAGATCCTTCTTTAGACTTGGTTGGGTTGTTCAGCAATCTGGCCTTTCCATCCAAGAACCAAGTAAAAGCATCATAGTCTCTGGGGTTTTGTAGGGCGACCCTGGTGTAGCTTTTTGTAGTTTAGAGCTATGTATATCATGGTGTGTCATTTTGCTTGTTTCTCGTGGGCATTTTTTGGCTTTATCTCTCTATTCTTTCTGCTTAGCTCTGCATTAATAACTGTCCTCTTCTCCTCTATTGCAGTAGGCCTACTTCTCATCCTTTCTGCTGCCTTTGATTAAAATCTTTCACTGCCTTGAATCACTGTGCTTCCTGTCTCACCTTGGTGACCTCTTTCTCCTTTTGCCACTCACTCCACTTTCTCTGTCTGATTCTGGCCCATTCCTCCCTCTTCTCCAGTTTTTCCCCAGTCAAGGACACATTATAATATATGCTGCGACACACAGACTCTCCCTCTTCCTGAAAACATATTAATCTCCTCTTTTTTGTGATGCATCATCCTTTTGTTGTGATCCCTTTTCCTTATCAGTTCAACATTATATATTTTCATTCCTTGTCAGTTCAACATTATATATATTTTTTCATTCTACTCTCTCCTTCTGGGTCACGTTTCTCCAGTCTGACTCTCAGGAGGAAATAATGAGCTCGGTTATCTTCCGAAACCAATGGCGATGATAAAGCGAGAGGTGCGGAACACTCGGTGACATTCTGAGCCAGAAGTTTATCCACTCACATGCCTGTGGGAGACAACCCCAGTATTCAGATAATATCAATGTATGAAAGAGACATTAACCCTATTCGTACGTCGTGTTTTATTATCGTATCTATACGACGTGGGGAACTCTGTGCCAGCACTTTCCAAAGAGGAAATTTACTTGTTAATCCGATCCGTAGGCTTTTCATAGCAGTCTGTAGAATTGATTTTTTGAGAAATACTGAAAGTTTCAAAGAGATCATCGCACTAGAAAAATTCTAAAATGTGAAGAATACAACCCACAGGGTACAAAATTATCCCTGGGCGCACAGTCGATAAGGTTAAGGGGTTGGACAACAGTAGATTTTAAAAATGTCATATTTTAGCCTGGTTATTGTACAGCAACTCGTATTTTGATCCATTTATTTTTGTACTTGTGAGCCTCTTAGGTATTAATGTTTGTCTTTTTTTTTCCTAAGAGGGATAATTCTTTTCCAAAAACATCTCAACCCCTCCATTCTTCACAAATTTCAAATGAGATATTTTGGACTTAGCAAGGAAACTGTACTGTAGAGTCAGAAGTACATATAAAATCTACAGCTCTCACCTTCAGGTACCATCTAAAATCGTCTCCAGAAGCTTTGAAACTACCAATGTTTTCCAACTGAGCACTGATCTGCAGTCCAGTTTTCTGGAAAGTATTCAATCAACAGCATAGATAAACAAACCTCTGAATACAAGGTGGAACAAAAAACAAATTTCATTTTATCTCTAGATCTACATGCGACATTTATAACACTTATTAAAAGCTGAAGAAAAATGTAATTTTCGGACTGTTTTACAGGACAAACTATGTAAACCTTTCATTTCATAAGGATGTTATATATGCTATTAATGTCACTTTTTGGGAAGTACGAGTTACTTTCTTAACCTAGTGCCCCTTTGAGACCCAGACATTATCATTAAAACCTCTACACATCTCGATTAATCCGACTCCCCATTTTACAATCATGGTATTATAGTTTCCCCCTTTCACTTTCACTTTTCAATCCACCTACCTCTCTTTTCTTCTGCAAAATATTGCCTCATGACACCCCTATTTTCCCTACTTGACAACCCCTTCTACTCCTCTTGTAAATCATACAGAGGAGTCAACTTAAAACAAAATCTGCATGACAGCAAGATTATCTTTATTAATTTAGCTGGTTTGCGCAAATGAATTTGAAATACAAAAATATCAGGGGTTTTATTTCAGTTCCATTTCCTCCTGTTTTTCCGATTAAATGCATTCAGTTTTTAACCCCCTGGGGCAATGCCACTGACTGTAGTGTCTTTAGGCCATTCCCAAAGGGGGGACATTTCTCGTTCAAGCACAGTAGAATTGTAAATAGGCTGATTTACAACAGGAAACTGCTGCTTTTTCTTTCCAAATCCTTACTATCGACATTTTTCTTTTGATGGTCGAAGCAGATCTTGTGCTGTTGAGGCTAGAGAGGTGAGCAGAGAAAGTCTGATTCCTTGAAAAGACTTCTCTGTCGACACCCACCCCTTGGCACTCATATGACCTTGTTATGCAGTTGCGAGTGCCGTAAAACCCTCTACTAAAAAAAAAAGTTTAAAAATTCAGTTTTTTAGCAGACTCCATTGTTTATCTGGTTAATTAAGCTGTTCACCTTTATTTAACGTTCTGCTCTTCGCCTCTGGAAACCCAAATGTAAAGCAAAGATCCCCTTTTCCTCTCCACTCTCTATAATAATATTATTATTATAATACCCCAGATTTATTTCCCCTACTTGTCTGACAAACAAACAACATGCACAAAGTACTCACACACTTTCTCACACACTTTCTCACACACACACTTTCTCACACACACACTTTCTCACACACACACTTTCTCACACTTTCTCACACACACACTTTCTCACACACACACTTTCTCACACACACACTTTCTCACACACTTTCTCACACACTTTCTCACACACACGCTTTTTCGTGCAAAGTGCTGCAGACCTTGTGACATATATATATATGCGCATCATATTTTTCTGCTTTTACTGTAAATTGCTTAGAAGTCTCTCACCCCAACTCTCTCTCTTACTCTGCTGAGTCTCTCTTCTTCTTTTCTTTAAAGCATGTAATAGAATATCATTGGGTTTGGTTACAATCAGACTTCTGACTACCTATCTAACACGATTTATGTTAACAATAAATTGTTAAAATTATTATTATAAAATACATGTGACTCATGTGAGCCTGTTTGTGAGTGCAAGTTGCAAGCATAACTATTGTTTTACAGTGGTGATTATGTGCAAAGATATGGGTGGAGGAGAGATGTGTGAGAGAATGTTACACATGCGTGTCCATCATGATGTGGGTGTGGTTGCGTGTATGTGTGTGTAGTGTGTGTGTGTGTGTGAACGTAGTGAAACACTAAACCCATGTGCCAGGATCTGGAAGAAAAATATATTTATTTTTATCTTTTATCTGATCTCTGTCTCTATCTTCTATCACCATTGATCACTAGCTCGCACATAAAAGTCATGTCTGGCATACGGCATGATACGCTGTTACAACTGAAGTCCTACTAGACCTATTGTCAAGCCCCATTCTTTGTGATAATGATGAAATATATACAGTGTGAGTGCTGTCTGGTGTCTACCTTTCATTTTTAATCTCAGTCGCTTCTGAGTGCCTTCTCTTTCTCTTTGTTTTGTTTGTCTCCATCTTTTCTTTCTCCTCCTCCTACTTTCCCACTCTATCTTATTTCGTTCCCTCCCTGTCAACTGGGGTATGTGATATTGCTCTAGCACTTCCCCCTGTTCTCTACCCCCTTCTCTCTCTCTCTCTCTTTCACACACACACACTCTACCGGTTTTGGGTGCTTAAACTTTTCCGAAATCACAAAAGATTTCCCCTACTCTACTGGGTCTGTATCGTATTTCGTGACTTTGTTCCCTGTTACTGGTCTGTACTGTATACACTTCGTCTCTTAAATTATGTCTAATAGCCTAGAGTAGATCTAGATTTTCTAAATCTAGAGATCTAGATTAGTACAGTGAAGTCTTTCTTTAGCCTAGGTTAGAAGTCTTGTAGTAGTAGCCTCGAAGTTGTTAGGCTGTTAGGACTGTTGAAACTGCTTACCATGCTGAACTGATGTCTGATGTGGTTCCAAATGGATGAAGTGATCTAGATCTATCTAGATTCTTGATCTACTACGAATATCACGTTGTTCCTGTATCTTTGTACCAAATTAACGTATTTATTTTTAGTCATAAACTCCGACAAAATCAGTTTGGACCTCAACCTGGGCCTCCTGGGCAACATTCATTAGCTTGACAACAAAGCGAGTCGTCAGTCGTCTCTTTCGACAGTCCAGCGGAACTGGTAACTTTCGGTTTCATTTTAGCGTAAAACAAATTCAACGACCAACAGAACTTCAGATCTGTCGCTGAACAAAATAGAGCTGCGCTTACTTCCTGCTTCCTGCTACGTTGCAACACACACGGCTCCGTAACACAGTTGTTGTAGCTATAGATCCTTTAGGCTAATCAAGGTCTAGGCCTAGTGGGTGTGTAGTCAGGAGGCCAAGCAAGTCAAAGAGTAAGATCACAAAAGTCTCACCAGTCGACCTATTATTCATTTCGATATGGCTGAAGGGTAAGAAATGTCTTTTGCATTAATACTGTTGATCTAGACTAGCCTAGGCTAGATAACCCTATAAAGAAAGAAATGTACTTTTAAAAATGCACTTTTAGCTTATTGCTGTGATTCCCCCCCCCCCCACCTTTCCACAGCCACACAAGGCCCGTGGTGTGAATAACTGAATCGGTGGTAAAACAACTCACTTTCTCAAACTGGATATTATGACAATAGTTTGAAGTAACAATTTTTCCAGATTATTAGTTCACGATGTATTGCTGTCCCAAATTACTCTTTTTTCCCCCTCAAGAAAGATATAAATCAGTTTATCTTCCTGCTGAGTAATTGCCGGTGAATCCAGTAATTGGGGGAGGGGGTGAGTCCTTGACTTGCCAACCTGGTTCATGATGTGAGTCATCCTCGGCCCATGCCTTGGTGTTGCAAACTTGCTGAATGGACTGAAATTTTTTCTTTCTGCATTATTCTCCACTGCAGGGGCCTATTGGTGTAGTTTTCTTGACTCCCGGTCTTCTGGTTATTTTTATTACCAAGATGAATTTCATGGCAAGAAGATAAAAGATCTCTATGCCGTGTATACTATCATATAAGATTCTAGAATCTAGATTAGATCTAGCAGCGACTGCGTTGTGCAAACACAATGGTCGGTCAGTATTCACGGTTTACATAGGCTGTAGATTATAATTTAAACAAGAAAGTGGCTATTCTCACCCGCCCAGAAGTTCTCGCAAGATCAACTCCTCCCCTCTTATCTCTCTCTCTGTCTCTTTCTGAATACTGTCTATCGGTGTGGACGATCAAATTGACCAAAACAAAGTTAAAAATGATGTTAAAACACAAAAGTAAATTAATTTGGTTGTCTACAAAGATGCTACGGCTATTTAACTTTTCGAATCGAGTCGAACTACGCGGGTCGCCATTTTGTTTTGCCCGGAAATTCTCACGCTACTCCTCTCTCTCTTTCTCTCTCTCTCTCTCCACTGCCCACAGACAAAATTGTACGCTTTTAGTAGTTAGTAGGCTACAGTTGTAATGGAACGTTTGTTCACGGCACAGAATTCTACAATTTTTCTGTTATCACAGTGTAGAATTCTGTGGTTTAGGGTGAACGCAAAATTTGGTGAACGCGCACCGGGTGAGAATAGCCACAAGACTCGCCTGCACTATTCTCACTCCGGGTGAGAATAGAGGTGGCCTTTAAACAAACGACGTTGAGAGCATGCGTTTTGAGGGAAAAGTCTCTGTCACATGATGAGTAAAATGTTTGTTTCTTAGATGCAGGACTGGTATTGTTTCACAATTATTTTACAATTGGAATGTATGATGCGTGTATCCTTTTAGTAGTAGGTTACACTTGATCCTGTTCGTTTGCAAAAAGATAACGTAGTATAGTATAGATAACAAGTATTTTTGCCTGCTGTATCACAAACCCAGCTCGTTTGACATTGAAAGCTCGCTGGTTTGACATCAGAATTACCTAACGAGAAAAGGAATGTTACGAAGCCGAGCAATGTGAACCACTTTGGACATCAAAGAAAGCTACAGAACATCCAGCATGGAAATTGTAGAACCAGACCTCACTGAACAGAACAAAAGTTGTTTTAATACTTTTTTAAACCCCGGAGAGAGAGAGCGGCCAGCAATGAGCAGTACAGTTCAAGAGATAGGACTATTTTAAAATAATGAACTGAAACACAGATATGATTGCTAAACAATATCAAATGACTACTCACTATTGAAAGACAAAGGCAGAACAACTGTCTTTGTCTTTTTCGGACGGACTTGATGAGAGAGAAAGACCAATGTGAACGGTCTTCTCAACACGACAGAGTAGCCTACTGCAAAGGCGACACACCTAGATGAAAAACGCACATTAGGGTTTATTATCTGAAACAGAATGACTAGAAGATCAACGTTTGCAGGAGTATGTTGATACATGAGTATCTGTGACCGAACATACCCATTGAAAAGTGCTCTAGAAGAGCCCATGCCAGTTTCATCATCACCTGTCTCTCCCTCTATGGACAAATACTTTCCGATGTTCCCTCCCTGGGCTAGCTTCTGCATATTTTTCAAATGTCTATCCACTTCTGTCTTCATAATTCTCTGCAACGTTTCTGTCGATTCCATGTTGCCTTCTCTTTGATCTTTTAACTTGTGGATTCCAAGTTAACACTTTCTTTGTGATGGAGCTTCTTGATTCCCTGATGGTATCCTTTTAATCCAATCCATCCCCATCCTTTTCTTCTGCATTGTTCTCCTTAAATTACTTCCTCGTTGGTGACTGTCGATCCATCTGATCCTGAGTAACTTTTAGGGCACTTGATGATGACAACCTGGATCCCCCAGCACTTTGCAAAGAGTCCCAACCAGCTGCAGCCGCAAGTAGCCCACAAGGGGCCAGTAAGCCAAAGAGTTTCTGTTCTAATCTGTGGACATGTTTCGAAAGGTCTCCTCTAATTATTGCCAGCAAAGCTGTGACAAAGTTTTTCTTGATCCTTGACTTTGTAATCTGTCGGAGCTTCATCGGTTTTGTGAAACAGGTCAGGCACAATCTGCCCTATGTGTCAGAATACTCAAATATGTGCTAGATGGAAAGAAAATGTCGATATATAAGCCAAAAAAGATGGATATGAATTGTACGTGAGTTTTGAGTCTGACAGCGTCAGCCAGGCCAAGTGGGAATCTCTCAGCCAGGCCAAGTGGGAATCTCTCAGCCAGGCCAAGTGGGAATCTGACATGTGAGAAAAGAAAAGAACAAAGAGTGGGTACCACAGGGAGAAAAACTTTTGCTCTTTGGCCAAGAAGACCTGGTCATGATTTGCATGAATCTTCTGGGTGCACTTTTGGTATTTTCTATCAATTCCGCCAGCTCTTGTTTCTTAAAGCATGCACAAAATCTTCAATGTGACCTCGCATGATGCCATCTATCACTTGTGACACGAGGCAAAAGGTGGTTGGACTGCGGACGAATCCATACGTTGCTTGATAGACTTCCTTACAACGTGCACACATGCAGAGAAGGTCGTTATAATATTTACAGTCACGTGCGTGAGTGTATATCAGCACAAAATTGAAGCTCTTTCTAATGCCATGAGTGCTAAGGCAAACGCCGAAATTGAACGCAAAATCTTATTAGAAGCCACACTCCTAATATATGGAAGTGGGTAGTATGCGCAGCGTCATTGAGCAGCGACTTAAAATAAAACCCACACAAATATACAGCCCACTAGATTATGTTGCCCTTTTCAGAACTGCAATAATAATAATAATATTGAGGCAAGACCCTACACTGTGAAATTTGTGGATCACATTTTGTCATGATTTTGCCAAAATTGCAGTCCACGGCTATACATAAGGAGAAATTATTTACAAACTGACGATGAGTGGGAGGGTCTTCGAAAGTCCAGAAATAAGGAGAAATTAACAAACTGTTCCCCACCACTTTATCAATCTCCTTTAAAAATCGCACACAAAAAAATTCAGGATTTGATATAGAAAAAGAGGAAGATAGTGAGAGATGGTCATTTACAGGTTGATGCAAGTCAAATTCCCAACCCATTCAATCCCCCCCCCCCCCCCCAATCCTAAATACCCCACGGAAAAAAATTTATACACACACACACACACATACATCAATTTGGAGAAAGAAAGAAAGAAAGAGAGAGTGAATAAAGTAGTATGTTTTCATAAATTTTATACAATAAACTTTACTTTCATACTCTGTTTTTAAATTGGGCTTCTAAAATATTTTTTAAAATAACAGTATTGCATGTTTTCATGTATTTTAAACGTACCAGGGCTTCTAACAAGAGAAAACACACTGCTAAGCAGTCGTGAATACAACACCGCGTTTCATAAAGCCTACTCATGAAATCGTGAATTCCACGTGGAATTCACGACCGCATCAGACGAGATTCGAAAACGAAAATCGTGAATCCCACACTTTTTTGAAAAGATGAGGATCAACGGCAAAACATGTACTTTAGTTATATTTCTTAAGAGTACTGGAATAGATTTGTCCATTTAGTGTCTTGAACGTCAAATGACGGAGAGAATCAGTTTTTTCCCTCTCCTGTAAAATTTGCTTCGTGTTGAATTCACGATTTCATCAGGCGACCGACGATATAATATAATAATATATATAGATCTAGATCTATCTAATGTTAATAAAAGTAGCAATATAATGAGGATAATGATATGATAAGAATACATTGATAGTGCTCTAAGTAAGTTTTAGTAAGCTCTGGAGTGCTTTTCATCGACTTGATTACTGAGAACAAAACATTTTAATAGACTAAGAAAATCAGTTCAACCTCATGAGGAAGAACTTTTTCAGCCATACGTTAGTACATTAATTGTCACGTGTCCCATGGACATGGTACATGGTAAGGCAGCAGTGAAAACAAGACACATTGAAACATCAAAACCTGCTATAACACACTCCAGTAAGACTTAAACTTATCACTTCAACCCCTTAGCGACAGCTCCCATACACCATACGTCCAACATTTTGTGCGAGATGCGGTCCTCCCGTACTGTAATGTACGTCCTTAAATCAGCCGATTACGGCCATCGCGTGGACCTTACTACCTCGGTTACTACGTACACCGTACAGGATTTTATAACTGCACTACAATAGCTTTGAATGTCATGGTTAGCAAAAATTGGGTGCTGTGAAAGTTGAGAAAACCATACATCAGATCAGGCTTAGTTTAGAGGTTAAAACGTATCTGGATTTGTTGTTTCTCTGAAAGTCCAGGGCAAAGAGTTCCAAATTTGAGGGCTAAGTAGTGAAAGAACTTCCTCTCACCAAAAGATATTAAAATTAAAAATTCATTTTTGGAACTCTTGAATTTCGTTGCATCAGTGAAGGATCATGGCTGACAGGATGACACTTTTACACTGTAGTTTCCTAGTGGTAAAAGATAGATATGATGGAGCATATGATTAAATATTGTTATTTTTAAAGCTTTTTTATAATTTATGGTGGATGGTACTTTTTTCAACTGAAAGCCAGTGCACCGCTTTTAACATGAAATTTTTTTGCTGGATTTAGTTGTCTGGATTTAGTTGTCTGCTAGGAAAAGCACAGACTTCTTCTCCTCCTCCCCCTCCTCCTCCTCCTCTTCCTCCTCCTCCTCTTCTTCATTGAGTTCCCCCGCTAGTTCTCCGGAGTAGTTGACCGCTGGTTCTTCAGCCTACAGTACCACTGAGATTTACACATTTCACCGTATGTTTCCTACTTCTTAGGGCCCCTTGCCATGAGGCAGTCACATTGCGATTGTGAAGGTACTCTCTATGTTCTTATGTTGACAAAAATATTTTCAGTTTTGGGAATTTTGATTTTTTCTCCGCGTTGTGGCCAAAACCTTATCAATTTTAAGACCATCAAAGGATGTTTAACATGCGTAACTTCCTCACGGGACTTCCGAGACTTTTCGCCCTTGTCCGAGAAGGTCAGTTGTTAGATCTTGGCTACCCTTAGATCAGGTTTGTGGCTAAAAGACAGCAGTAAGAAGGAACCAGCAGAACAGTGGAAAGAAAGAGTAAAGAGGAGAGGAGCCCAGAGGAAGCCTGACCTGAGATTGGGTGGGGGGGGGGGAGTGGAGACGAAAGCAGGTAACAGAACAAGACTAGAGAACTGGAAAGGATCGGAGAAATGGAGAAATGAGAACATTTATTTTAGAGAAGTAAATTTTTCGTCACTGTCGGGTATTGAACCAGGGATTTATTGAATGAAGGGGGCAAACACCATACCTCCAGACCATGAGAGCCCCTAAGCATCCATTGCAAACTGACGATCAAATTCAGTCGCGAATTAAATCAGGGCAGGCCAGATATTCTCCATGGAGGATGAAAAGCTGCCATCGTGGCACAATTCAACCAAATGCGATTGTGGCCTTCAAAAACAAATGCATGTGTTTTTCACGGTCGCGAGTCGATCAATGGGATATGCACAGCTGATTGCAAGGCTTCTAGCCTACATGGCCCAAGGTCAGGAGGATTCTCTTTTGCGTACAGAATGCAGTAATGGACAAAGTAGAGGCTGATGGTGATAGATCTAGTAGAAAGCTATCAAAATTTCCCACATTTGTAAGATTCAGGAACCTTTCAACAGGGCAACCACGATATGCAGCAGTCAGCACTTGAAGCTGTTTTAGAAGGAAAGGTTGTGTTGTGAACAATAAGTTTTTTGTACAATGACACCATGCACTGGTCAAAGTTTTTTATTCTTGTCACATTTAACAGCAAGAGAGGGGTCTATTTATAGTGTGCACGTAAGCCACTATTAATGGGTCCAACCAAATCCGATCCTGCCAATGGGTACCCAGTACCGTATAAGATTGGCCCCACGCTCTGAAGTTCCATTCATGTTGGCAGTAACTGCTCTCTTCCCACAATTGCTTAGTGTCGGAAGATTTTGAAGAAAAAAAAATTATCCCCTATTTCAATAACTTATTTATTACATTATATCAGTAAAACAGTATTAATTCATTTGATATGTCATTCTTTTTTCAGGTTCGCAGCAGATTCAGAATTGTCTGATATCATCAGCAAGCTATGGGACATGGACGACAACAAATGTTATCCTGGGACAGACTATGAGCTTTACCTTCAAGGTGTGAACAAGCGTTTTTTCAATAGTATCAATGCAAAGGACATACAATATTTTCAGGAGCATTTGGGGTTTTTTTTATAATGAAGATAATGTTGATATGAGAGGCTTGTTTTCACTTGATCTGTCATAAATTCCACCTCAATATTTAATGTAAGGGTAACATCCATAAAAAAAATATTATGCACAAGATTACGCAATTATCCAATAGTCATCTACTAAATAGGCCATGTTTTTAACATTTTTATTAAAGTTTCAGTTATAAAAATCTGAATTGATTCTAGCACAGTTTATGAGCAGAAACATTTAACTTCTCAAAGGCTAACCTTGCCTCATATAACTACAGTCTTAGAATTTAATTTTGTTAAATATATATATATGAGACTAGAAATAACTTGTGTTGACATTTTGTTTTGTGCCAGGCTATGTGAACAACCCAAGAGAAGTGGGCCGTGATTATGCTCGTCATAATCTGTTTGACTGGCTGGATGAAGAGCAAGTGTTCAGCCGCCCCACTTACAAAGGTATGTCCGGAACTTTTGCTGAAGGGTTGGGGACGGTGGGATGTGTGATGAGTCAGTCTCAACGGTTTGACCGAGGTCAAGTCATACAGTCTGTGTGTGTGCGTTCGTGCATACGTGTGTGCACCCCACCTGAAGTGTTCAGTGAATGCATTTATGAAACTGGCAGTGTTCAGTGAATGCATTTATGAAACTTGCAGTGTTCAGTGAATGCATTTATGAAACTGGCAGTGTTCAGTGGATGCATTTATGAAACTGGCAGTGTTCAGTGAATGCATTTATGAAACTGGCAGTGTTCAGTGAATGCATTTATGAAACTTGCAGTGTTCAGTGAATGCATTTATGAAACTGGCAGTGTTCAGTGAATGCATTTATGAAACTTGCAGTGTTCAGTGAATGCATTTATGAAACTGGCAGTGTTCAGTGAATGCATTTATGAAACTGGCAGTGTTCAGTGAATGCATTTATGAAACTGGCAGTGTTCAGTGAATGCATTTATGAAACCGGCAGTGTTCAGTGAATGCATTTATGAAACCTGCAGTGTTCAGTGAATGCATTTATGAAACTGGCAGTGTTCAGTGAATGCATTTATGAAACCTGCAGTGTTCAGTGAATGCATTTATGAAACCTGCAGTGTTCAGTGAATGCATTTATGAAACTGGCAGTGTTCAGTGAATGCATTTATGAAACCTGCAGTGTTCAGTGAATGCATTTATGAAACTGGCAGTGTTCAGTGAATGCATTTATGAAACTGGCAGTGTTCAGTGAATGCATTTATGAAACTTGCAGTGTTCAGTGAATGCATTTATGAAACTGGCAGTGTTCAGTGAATGCATTTATGAAACTGGCAGTGTTCAGTGAATGCATTTATGAAACTGGCAGTGTTCAGTGAATGCATTTATGAAACTTGCAGTGTTCAGTGAATGCATTTATGAAACTGGCAGTGTTCAGTGAATGCATTTATGAAACTGGCAGTGTTCAGTGAATGCATTTATGAAACTGGCAGTGTTCAGTGAATGCATTTATGAAACTGGCAGTGTTCAGTGAATGCATTTATGAAACTGGCAGTGTTCAGTGAATGCATTTATGAAACTTGCAGTGTTCAGTGAATGCATTTATGAAACTTGCAGTGTTCAGTGCCTCCAACCAGGTTAACAACCACTGGGTTGGAGTATGTGCTCTTTCCAACATGACAAAAATTGAGTCTATTTGACATGTTTTAGTGATGAGACACTTTAAAAGAAGAAACACGCAACAGCTAACAACTCACTGATGTAAGTTTCAGGGAAAAAAGGTTAGTCTGTAATGTACATGTCCATAATCAAAAGTACCTGGAACAATTTGAACTTGTTTTGTTGCCATTGTGGTGAACTGCTTTTATGCCATGGGTGGTAGTCCAGTGCCCTGGTGGGCTTTGTCCTTCTGTCCTGTCTTATATCTACCGTTTTTATCTCTCCTCCAAATGAAGCCTCATGGAGAGTGGAGGTCCCAGATGTATTTTATGTAAGGGCAAGTGGGTTCTGAATGGAGAGTTAGAAATCATTTTTACCTTCCAGAATATTGAAAATACAATAGGAAGGACAGGCAAAGGTAGTGGTGGCTAAAGAAAAGGAGAAAAGAGGTAATTTTTGAAAGGAGGTGGAATTGTGTAAATAAGTGGAAAAATTGCACTCAACAAGGGTTTGTTTCTTTGTTTGTCAACAGCTTTCAGGGCCCTCTTGGACAACTACGAGATGGATTTGTCAGAGGAGGAGGAAGTGACTTGGGAAGAGCGACAGGAGAACTACGACTTTCTCACAGCCATCATGGACACTGCGGTGATGAAAGAAGCCCATCAGTTTCTGGTTTCTAAAGAAGTTGCTCCTGAAGATGAGGAGGAGTTCAAGAAGATGCTCCACGACATTTGGTTTCGTCTCTTCAAGAGAAAGGGTGGCAGGTACGAACATCTCTTGTCTTTTTTCGATAAGTCTCATCTTGAACTGTTCTGTAGTTATGCTCTTTGCTGTTGTTTGCAGATGACATGTGTTTGATTCCCATTTTTGGATGTTATTTTAACTCTTTACCTCCGTGGGGGGTAAACCCACTACGCCTGGCCCCTTTTTTGGTACTAAATTTTTAAATGAAGAAATCGTCACTAAATGAGTCATTAAATTAAATCAAGTCAACCTATTTTGGTAGTTCTTCATCTAACGAATGGACTCCCGACAAAAGAGAACAAAGAGAACGGACTCCCGACAAAAGAGAACAAAGAGAACGGACTCCCGACAAAAGAGAACAAAGAGAACGGACTCCCGACAAAAGAGAACAAAGAGAATGGACTCCCGACAAAAGAACAAAGAGAACGGACTCCCGACAAAAGAGAACAAAGAGAATGGACTTCCGACAAAAGAGAACAAAGAGAACGGACTCCCGACAAAAGAGAACAAAGAGAACTGTTATCAGCAATTGCTGATTGCCGAGAAATAATTTGATGTTGAAGCCGTCGTAAAAGAATGTGCCCGAGCCGCATCCAGTGGCTCACGGGCACAGCGGTTCCTACTGCAGATCGCTAGGAGCGGCTTGTCGGAGATAAAGAGTTAATAAGTCTTGTGGTCCTTGCACTGGGATTTCATATGGTCGCTTTTAAGGACAAGCGGGCTACCCCAGATTTCGGAGTTTCCAGAAATCTTGACCTACACCGAAAGTGGGCATTGCCCTACCTGTAGGAGAAGTTTGGTTTCATTGGTGTGTATATTTGTTTGGTTACAGAGAAAACTCTCCTTGTCTTTTAAAGAAACTGAACAAGGGGCAAAAACCTCCCCTTCGATTTTCTCAAAACAGCATTTTTCGGGATAGCCCCCCTTGTGCTTAAGGGCGACCATTTATCATAACAGCGTGTATATCAAACTCTGCCTGAGTTTTCCCTGACAGTCAGGGTCAAAGCAACTTACATCCTAAAGGATTTAAAGGAAGTCGTTGGCAACATCAAATATTGATCAACAATGATAAGCAGTTCTGGTTCTCTTCACAGTGGCCTTGCCCCAGAAAATAAAAGTTGCAAGAGAAGGGATTGCATACCTGCCAACCCTACAGAAAAAATCGGTATATTACCGACTTTTTGGTCAAACTGCCGATCCACCGATTTTGAGATATAAGCCACCGACAAGTGCCCCCCTTGTTTGCTGTATTGCTGTAAAATTTCAGATCTTTGTAGTAGGCCTCCACTTTACGTACCAATTTAAAATTACCACCCATTCTTTGATAAAACACTAGAGCTGGAAACTAGATCAGGGACCCAACACGCGAGTTGCCGGCATGTAAGAGGCGAGTGATCACAAGGCGGCATGTGATTGACTGTCTAAAACCAGAGAGTTTTACAGTAATTCAGTGCTAAAACTGCTAGAACTAAGCAGGTTACCAATGACGTCATTTGCTAAGGTGTAGAGGGTGATCGGCCACAGGTCAAGAAACCTCCCACTTCTTGGCAATATTTTCCTGTATGAAAGTCCCCCAAAATTTTGAAACAAAAAATCCCAATAACTTGTTTTATTTATAAATGGATTTTTAAAATTTAAAAACCACAATTCTTAGAATTCACTCTTCTTTCATTTAAGCTGGATAAAAATTTAATTTTTCATTGTCATTGCTAATTTTTATTTTTTGTTCTTTGTCAATTTCTACATTTGTTTGAAGTCGCAAACACACTCATGTATATGTGGGTCAAAATATTGATACGGGTCCCCAATTAAGTATGCAGCAAGTGGTAATATAGCCTACTACAGATTTTTTAGGTCAACTACAGATTTTTTGACAAAAATTTGTGTCAACTACAGATTTTGGTCCAGGTAATGTTGGCAGGTATGGGATTGCACTCACCTACACTGACCGAAGAAAGATTTTTTTATCACTATTTATTAGTGACTCCGGAATTTGTTAGTATTCGCGTCATTCTTACTGCACTGAGGAGTTGATTATCGACAGAATTTCAAGCTCATATTTGCTGTAGAAGAGCTTCCACTTCAGTCAGCGTATTGAAGTTTTGTTTAATAAGTTGTTCATTTCATGGAATGACTAGAGCTCAAAATCTCTTTCCCACCCACTAGAACGTTTCTACAGGACAGACAGTGCGAAAAGCACAAATGTGGCAACAAGAATAATGTGCACTTTCCTTTTCTAGAGGTGCAAATTTGGCGGATAAATCCGGAAATCTAAAAATCCTGATTTCTGAAATGGTGCAGATTTTGCAGAACTTCTTGCCTCATGATGTATTAGACAAAATGGTCCACGAACTTTGAGTCCCACTGGCTGCTTTCTGAAGGGTCTGAAAAGTTCAGATGTTTTTTTCATAGCTAGTTGACACCTCTGTTTTACTGTCACCTTTAAGAATCAGCACTTAGTGCTGTCATGGTACTCAGACCTGCCACTCTATGAAATCTCAAAGTCAGGATTTGGGGGGGGGGATCGGGATTTGGTGGGGGGGGGGGGGATCGGGATTTGGTGGGGGGGGGGGGGGAATCGGGATCAACAGCAAATCAGCAAGGTGACTGCCAAGCTGACTTAAACATTTTCCAGGGGTGTCCATAAATATAGATATATGCCCTGTGTGTGTGTATTTTTTGTTTTTTTTTAAATCTTGAAGTATCACGGATTTGTCAGACACTCCTCGTCAGAGTGTTTAACACAACACACACGTACACCCCCCCCCCCCCTCCAAATAAGTCTCGAAAGACACTTCTACAGTGTATATGAACTTCAGTTGAACCCATAAATGGACGATCCCCGACACACGTGGAACTCTCACGTGGAAGTCTTGTCTTGTGGTGCGAGATCGCGATGGAGACAGTTTTACTGACAGGCCCGACTAGCCTAACGGCATGTTCACATCAAACACTCGGACGAGCGACAGTCGCTATAGGCTAATGACAACAGCCGACGAACCAAATGTACTAACAAATCTCTTATCCCTCATTTGCTTTCAGACCAAAGCAACGACAATGGCCGAGTGTTAGTCTTTTCAGCCCAGTTAGTTGTTTAAAGGTTAGAACAAGCTTGCAAATACTCATGCGTGGGTACACACACACACACACACTCACACGCACACACACACACACACACTCACACACACACACACTCACACACACACACACACACACACACACACACACACACACACACACATACATTTCAAACAAAAATAAAATTCCAAACCTTGAGTCAATGCTTTTGTAGCAATAATTGGAGGCACAAGCTTCCTACCTCACTTGGTTATAAACATTCGCATCACATTTATGCGTGGTTCTGCATTCCTTTATGCTTTGCTTGCGCTTACAACACGTTCATACATAATTATGCATTCTGTCCTGCTTCACTACGTTTGCAACACATTTGCTTTATTCCTTTATTCCTAATTGTGAATTCCTTCCCTCTTCTCCTCCAGTTTTGTTTTTAAAACATCCTCTGTGATGCTGTCACTTATTGTGAAGACTCTCTAACAATTCCCCTCCAAAACTGTGCTCTTTGACGAAATATTACCGCTAGTGCTTTTCAGGCTCCATTGATGGGCTTTACTTTTCTTTCCCTCAATGTTTCTCTTTGTGCGTCTTTCTCCTTCACTCCTTCCGTGCAGGACCACTAAATGAGGCTTGAGTAGAAGATGGGATGCTCTGTTCTCAAACACACAAAGATGGGATGCTCTGTTCTCAGACACACAAACAGAATAAAAATGTGATGTTATTGAAAGGAGAAAAGTGAATGTTAGATTCCAGGTCTGGTATAGGAACTGTGAATGTCATGCGGTGATCGGGAGGCCTAGAGTTCAGCCTTCAAGCCCTGCACCTCTGAGCCTACTCCTCAACTCCACTGGTTTGACTGCTGGATTTACGCAGTCTGTGCTACAAATTGGGGGGGGGGTTGTTAATCAACGAATGTAGAGATCTGACATTTTGTGTCATTGATTCGACAGAAAGCTGTTGTCTATTTTTAGTATGGCGTGGAAAAGGTAAACATTTTTTTTAGGGGAGGGGGGGATTGGGTGTCAATTGAAATATTTTAAAGGTTGAATTTTTTTTTAGAGCATTTGAGCTCTGAAATGAATGGCTGACCATCTAGCCGATGTCTGTCTCAGATTTGGCATTTCGTGACGATGATGGTTTTTCGGTCTCTCTCTCTCTCTCTCTCTCTCTCTCTCTCTCTCTC